TCGATTAACCTACAGACAGTATTCTATTCATTTGATGAGTATCTCCACCTTCGAACATTTTATATATTATATTTATACGAGCGAATTCAAAGAGAAATAATGGCTGGGTAATTTTCACAAGAGACGACATCAATCATTATTTTGAGAGCATCAAAGATGGAAAAAACCGAACCTTCACCTTTTGCGAATCTAACAATAAACCATTCTCGCGAACAGAATTATAACCCCACTTTGCCGTTCACATCGTTTACCTTCAGGTTTCATAAATCCAGTCGGTAGGAAGATTAGTTCTCCATTATTGAAACGTAAACGTCACATGTAACCAGTTCTGGCCGGGAGCAGATTCGTTCCCGAAACGTCCAAAGATGAGTAAAAATTCGATATTATTTCAATATATCTATATTTCTTTCCTTCAGAATTTGTTGAACGCAGTGACGTTTTGGGGCAAATATATTGAAATAATACGCATATTCTCATTATATAGAAACAAGGAGATAAAATCCCAAAAAATCATGTAAGATACCACCGCCTCGATTAACCTACAGACAATATTCTATTCATTTGATGAGTATCTCCACCTTCGAACATTTTATATATTATATTTATACGAGCGAATTCAAAGAGAAATAATGGCTGGGTAATTTTCACAATAGACGACATCAATCATTATTTTGAGAGCATCAAAGATGAATGAAACCGAATCTTCACCTTTTGCGAATCTAACAATAAACCATTCTCGCGAACAGAGAATTATAACCCCACTTTGCCGTTCACATCGTTTAGCTTCATGATTCATAAATCCAGTCGGTAGGAAGATTAGTTCTCCATTATTGAAACGTAAACGTCACATGTAACCAGTTCTGGCCGAGATCAACAATACCATAACTCGGTATTAATCTAATCGCCGGGCTGACGTGCCGCAGAAGGAATTGCAGGAAAACATGCTCTTTTCGCCATCTAGTTAGCAGTTGCCGTATCTGCAGTCGGTGGTATTTTCGACCGAGCACGTTAATTGATGTTGTTAGGCGAGTTGTTTTCATGGGAAAAAGCAAGATTCGCAATTTGAGACCATGATATACAGGGTGTCCCTCCGGGAACTGCATTGATCAATATATAGAAAACCATAAGTGGGCCGAATATGGACTAAAATATTTTGAAGATTGTGGCACTTCCGGTTGTACCTTCTTCAGTTATAGTCAATTTTTGGTTTCATAACAATTTGTATATTTTCACATGCCTTTGCTTGTTAGTAATTTCTAAAATACGGCTGAATATGGACTTTTATAAGTTTGAAACATGTTCCGTTGAATAACTACATCATTATGTGAGTTGTGGAGATGACTTTAAGCTTTTCTTCCCCCTTTTATACCTATTTTTGTATCAGTAATAGAAACATCAATTCAAGAGCTGATTTTTGACCAGTTGACAAATTTGACAGAATCTATAATCGCGCAGGTCCGGCGTCCACAGGAAGGGATTTCCCCCCCCTCCCGCCTTACCCCCAACCTCATCTACAGTTCCCTTCCCCAAGCAATTTGCTAATGGGCGGCGAGTGCGTTACGCGTTATGAATTCGATTAGTGGCGGCGGCGACCGACTACGTTTCTGCCTCCGCTTTGCCGCACCCATTCGTCTACGTTACGTCACGACGGGACGTCACACCCCGCCACCTTGATTCTGATATAAGACATAACTGTTCGATGTTGATGATGTGTGTACACAACACACGACGTTCTTTCGGAGACAGTCGTCTTCAAGGCATTTAAGGGCCTATTTATGCATCATTGTCTTAGTCTTAGTCACAGTCTTTGTTTTAATCATAAAATGTTATGTTATGGGCATACATTTCAATTGGTGAATTCATGCAACATTTTTAGTCTCAGTCTTAATCATAATCATTAAATCATGGAAGTTACAAACTTTTAATTTTTATGCTCATGATTGAGACCACATAAGAAATGCGCATGTGATTTTGTGTTTGTCACCAAAAAATCAGTGCCATTCTGTGCTGTGTCAATAATTGATTACATCATTCTGATAATTTGATTTCATTTGATAACAAATATAGGTGAATTGATTCTTCGTCATTCTTGTGTATTTGAAGAATTGATCTTCATCTATTTCTCCAGTTTTCATATTGACTCCACTAAAGTCGTGAAGAAACCTTGTTTTTCTTTTTCTGTTGATGGAACGAACTCCGAATCTCTTGACTCTTTGTTTTTGCATCAAGCAAACCAGATTGGCAAGATTCAAATAAATATATGACATAGTAATTATTCCAATGATTAAATCTCTATCTACTTCCATTTTCGAATTCATAAGAGATTTTTATGAAGAAAAACAATAAAATAAAATATAATCCTTAATATTAGCTCAAAAACCTGCTTCAATACAAAAATTTAGAATTGGCAGTTGACATAATTGGCACCTCAGTTGACACTTTTGACGGATTGTCAATTGTCATATCATAATTCCTAATCCTAAAGACTGTGATGCATGTAGGTCCAAATATGATGACTTGATGAGTTGATTTAAGACTATGATTAAGCCAACGACTAGGACAATGATGCATAAATAGGCCCTTAGTTTGAAATGAAAATAACCGATAATTTTTGGCAGATATACACTGCAAAATGAATTGTGCGCTCGACTCATGCTTTCATGCAGTTTAAATTTCATGAATGATTTTTGTTTGATGGGGTTGTACAGGATGTGCCAACTTGGACACTTTCAAAGAGAAAGACCTATTCCCGTATAAGATAGAAAAAAACTGATGTGAGTTCCTATTGATCAATTCACATGACAAACTCAAAGGTGCAGACCGCATATCGATATCTATCTTTATGTCAGAGTTACAAGGTGTTTTTCAAAAATGTGAATTTTTGAAAAGTTGCTAAAACTCTTTTTTTGTCAAAAATTCTTCGTTTTCATGAAAACATTTCCAAAGTATTGTGTTTGTCATGAAGATTGATCCTCAGGCACTGAGTATACCTAGTTGCAAATTGGAACTTTTCTTTAAAGAAGAACAAGATGTTTTAATAACAGATTAGAATGTGTATCGATGAAAATTGCCAACCTGATATTTTCAAAGTACAATAATTAAAAAATGGTTACGAATATCAATATGGATGTTGAAATAAAAGATGTTCGTGTTTCGATTTTACACCAAATGGCCTGAAAATATATAGGGTGTTCCATTTGAAAAACTCGAGAAAAATCACTTCCAAAAGTTCCGAATTGAAAAAACATTTTCAGCCACCCTGTATAATTTGAAGGCATGAAAATTCTACATCTTCCCTTCAGATGACATTTTGATTATTATCTCTTGAACTCCATAATGGTGATTAAAGTGATTTTTTCGGTATGGATCTGTAGATGACATTATTTCAACAAAAAACTAATAACTTTGAAATGTATTGAAAAGGAATATTCTTAGATATATTTATGAAAACACAAAAAAAAATGGATATATATATACAGGGTGTCTGTAAAAGGTTGGGACATGGCTCGGCTGTGGACTTCTGAGATAAAAACAAGTTGATTTTGGCCAACTTACCTATATCCCAAATCGTCTCGTTGAGTTGGTACAAGGCGTTGAAGTTTTTTCGGAAAAAAATAATTTTGCTCATAAAAATAGTAGGCTGAGATCAATTTTCATAATTTTTGGCATGGCATGTTCTGCGACTGAACATAAGTTTTGAGATGTTTTTAATCATAAGTGAACTGCAAGTGCTTCAAACAACCATGTTGCCGTACGAATTTGGTAACAACTTTTCAGAGGTCGGACTCGAAACTTCCAGTTTTTTTTTCCAGAAAGATATTCCCTTCAGAAATATTTTTTGTATCGTGTTAATTTTTGATAAGTCTCGAGGTTCATTTGCATATAAATAATTTCTGTTCTGAGGCATCTTATGCATTTTTTAGGAAAATAATCTGGTTGGGACATGGCCTGACTGTAGACTCCTGGGATAAGAATAAGTTGAGTTTAGCCAACTTACCTATATCCAAAATCATTTCGTTGAGTTGGTACAAGGCGTTAAAGTGCTAACCTTAGGTACTGATTAGTTATCGCTAAATTTGTAACGCGAGAGTTCTTGTAGAGCCCGCGAGGAACAACAACATATCAGTTTGTTTACAATAAGAATACATTGTAGCCATGATCAATAAACAGTCCGACTAATTAGATTAATTTTCAAAAATGCGCAGGATGCATCATATCAGAAATCATTTATTTTCAAATGAACCTGGAGACCCATCAAAAATTAACACGATACGAAAAATATTTCTGAAGGGAATATCTTTCTGGAAAAAAAAACTGGAAGTTTTCAATCCGACCTCTGAGAAGTTATCACCAAATTTATACGGCAACATGGTTGTTCGAAATACTTGCAGGTCACTGATAATGATCAAAAACATCTCAAAACGTGTCTTACAGTCACATAACATGCCATGCCAAAAGTTATGGAAATCGATCTCAGCCTACTCTTTTTGTGAGCAAAATAATTTTTTTCCAAAAAACCTTCAACGCCTTGTACCAACTCAACGAGACAATTTTGGACATAGGTAAGTTGGCCTAAATCGACTTGTTTTCATCCCAACCTTTTACAGACACCAAGAAATACATTGAGAATTCGCATTCTCCATGTGATGAAAATTTTATTTCTTTCTCGGTTTATTCAACAGGAAACAACTACTTTCCTGGCAATATGCCACGACGAATATTGAATTACATCTATTGAACACACATGATAAGAATTTGAAAACAAAATCTTCTGAAGTAGAGAATTTGCATCCTCCTTCATATAAAGATATGCATATAATATCATCCTGAATATTCAACAGAAAACAACTACTGTCCTGGCTACTTGCCACGTCGAACATTGAATTATATCTGTTGAATACCTTTTTGGATATTTTCCGATGCGGAAATAATTTCTAGTTATGGACCTTGTTGTCTCATTCACATTCGTTCTGAAATCAAGTTCCTAGCTATCATAGAACTCGAGCAATCGAGCTCCGACGCACTAATACCCCACCCTGTATAGTAATTTCGAATTTGGAAAAAAATGTTCACTGACTTACCTCACGATGTCATGAATTCGATTTGCAGCTGTCACCTTTGGAGCATTCTGAAGTACCGTGGCCAAAAGCTGCATGAGGGCCGTACAGAGAGGATCAGAAGGAAGGTCATTTTCACAATCGCCGAGATTCTGAAATACAACAGAAAAATCCATCACATACCTGATGGATTACTGGATCGCTGAAAAATTATCACAGGGATACGAAAAACCCTCAAAAATTTCACTATTGGTAGATTCGTACCAAAATGCAGATTTCTTCATTGATTTTTTTTCCAATTCGAGGGAATCAATGTTACCAGGTGGCGCTCGGTTTTCGTCGTTCCATGTCAAAGCCACGTCAAAACTGGGGGAAAACAAACTCAATCCTCACTCAATCCTATTAGTGCCATTAGCTTCTGTACTGTGTACTGATAAGAGTGATAAGTTTTTAAATTTCTTGACATTAATTGTCAATATTCGATCGAAAACGCTAAAATGCCTGTTGTAGATGTTCTTTTGGCAGATATTTTGCTCTATTTACATGGAAAAAGCCGTCCAGTAGTGGAAGGAGAAGCAGTTCTCCGTGCTAATCATGTGATTTTGTATGAGGCAGAAGACTTCAACAAAAGGCACATTTTTGCACTTTGTCTACAAACTTCGGCGATGAAATCTTCCCCACATGAAGTAAAATTGAAGTTGGGGTCCAGAGGAACTCCTGTAGAACAATGGATTTGTATTTGTTCCTGCAAAGCAGTACAATCTGGGTATTGTAAACATGTTGTAGCTGTTCTTTTATATGTCAATTGATTTGCTCGTCATAATCAGTTTGAATCGTTTGAACTATCTCCAATTCTTCACCCGTTCACTGTTCACTAAACTAATGAAAATTTAATAATGTAAAAAAATTAACCAACTCAACCATCATCACTACCAACAGTGCCAACACTTTATGTCAATGACAAGTTTGACTACAGCTACAGCAAGCTGAATGCGATGTAGTCCATACACTTTATCCATAGACAACAGTTTGTTTTCCCCCAGTTTGAAGTTCGTATTATGTAACCTAGATGTCGCCCACTTCGTGAATCTCGCGAATAGGGGTTCCGAAGAAATTAATATAAAACTCTTTTATTTTTCGTATTTTCAACACCCTGGATCTCAGAGAGGATGCATTGTAGGACATACGTTGTTGGGAACTTTTGACTTCAAAATGAAGTTAGGAAACCTTATATGAAGTTTGTCGGTCTCATCCTGACTCGCCCTGTATATGAATTTTTTCATCCATTTCGTTCACTATGCATGTTGTCATCTTCGGCAAAATTGTATAAAATTCAATCAGACTCGATGAATTCGCATTGCTTTATCGGCCATACGAAATCGTACCTATAAAATTGAATGTCCGGCGGTCCATTTGACAATAATTCAATCGAATCTCTCCGGCTCTTTATACTTTTTTATATATTCATTGATTTCCCCCCTTTTAACAAACCCCTTTTTTCACGGCTGATTGATTCCCTTCCTCGTTTTCTTCTGCTGCGGATTTAATGGACCCGCTTTTATTTTATCGGTCATTTGAAATTTTATTACTTATCTGAATTTCTTGCATGCGAATTTATTTCTGTCGCAGATAGTTTGCAATGCATTCCTAGAATAAAATACTCGATATGTTCGACATTGGTGCCCAAAGGTCGTTCCAAGTTGTTATTGAAGAGATAATTGATGACTTAGATGTAACGAAAATCTTGTGGATTCTCGGAATATCTGCTAAAATTATAAAAATGATCAAAGTAGAATTAGCTCCGATTTTATTGTATATTGTTGCTAGATTCAAAACTGGAATTGTACCAAATAAAATGAAAATGCTAGTCATACCCATACATAAAACTGGAAAAAGAGATGACCTTGATAACTACAGACCAATTTCAGTTCTCTCGATCCTCTCAACAATTATTGAAAAACTGATGGATAAGCGTATTCTTGATTTTCTTGAAAAAAATGGTCTGGATTTTGCAGTTCGAAAGACACTGAGGTAGCAGTTATGGATGTAATTTCGGATATTCAGATGGAAATTGAGTAAAATATATTCAATAGGTATCAGAAGAGAAATATTTGATTGATCTTCAAAGAGATGAAAAGGACTCGCCAAATGATAAGACTTTTAGTTGATACGACTAAGTATATGAGAATTTTAATGTCAAGTTTGGAACACTCAATGCACCAATAATATGTTTGTCCCACTTCAACCTGTCATCAAACCAAACACCAAGATATTTTAGATAGTTCATAATAATTAAACAATGTTTGATTATAACCTCAGCTTTGTTTTCAATTTGTTCTAGTGTTAGCTTCTACAAGTATCAGAAAGAGGGATTCCAAGATGATTTTTTACTATGATGTGTTGTTGGTAGTTTCAGTTTCTTCAATTTCTTGTTTCATGTTTCCTTTTTTGTATTTTACTTTGAGGTTATTGAGGCTCTTACCGATTGTATATCTTTAACTATTCGCCATGGTCATAGTGGCGCGAGCACCAAACTGAATCACCTAGTATAATAAATAAAGTAATGAAATTACTCACCATCATTAACAGTTTCGTGTTCAACAGATCGATGACAGGGGATAAACGGTTCGACAGGATCACATATTCGCAATTGTTCGCCCCATCAGGTCCTTTACAAGCAGTTTGCCACAAATTGCAGCAAATAATGAGAGTCCTGAAAATATGAAAATATCATACAGGTTGTGTCACTTTTGACCACTGACCTCCAATCAAAATAAGAATAAGATAAAACCATGGTACAAAAAAATTACAGGTGCCAAGTGTTGGTACACTCCTCTCGTAAGGGCAACCGTCGCGTTTCAACAAATGGTCGAGTGTATAATACAATAAAAGCTACGTAAACAGAGAAATAGTAGCAAGATATCAGCTAGTGAACTGTTAATACTGTCTGTAGGTTATAGAGTAATTTAGTATAAATAATCATTAAGACGCAATATATGGTTTCCTCTCAAGCCATTTCATCTGATTCTACTGATTTGTTTTCCAAACACAGGATGGCGCAAAATTAGTTTTATAACTTCGGATTTCCAGGTGTACACTGTGTAATTCTCTACCACAAAACTTGAAAACTATCCTGCCTGTTCGCAAATTCAAACGTGCATTGTCCAAACTCCTCATAGATCTTTGTCCTTACTCTACAAAAGAACTTGAAGTAGCACTTGGTTAATCTATAACAATTTTAATTTTATAATTTTAACTTTTTTGTGTTCTCAATTAGGTACTAAAAAGTAATGGATGGTTTTCGTGCATATACACTGTTATACAGGATGCTAGTATGAGGCCTTTTCTTTGCAGGTATTTAGAGAACCTCCTCAACTCACTTGACTGATATCGAGGCATTTCCATCCTGTCCCAACATAAGCAGTTTCGCTAGCACCGAAAAACCCCCGACGCTCTGGAACACCAGCAAATCGTTCTTAGCGCCCTTGTGCATCAATCGGGTTAGTTCGTTTAGTATCCTGTCCAGTTGACTGGAGCTGGCCGGCGATAATCCTTGGCTGGCCTGGTTGGTGATCGATCCGATCGTGTTGATGCTCCTGTTGAGACTTCTTTTATTCACACCTGAAGGAAAATAAAAATAATCGGCTAGTATTTTCATAAATGTTTGATGAAATCCATCTATTATGTTTTTTCTTTAATTAAAGAATCAGTAGTCTTATCATGAAGTGATGCATCTGTGAAGTTCCTGGAGGTCCACTTGGGTCCTGGGCTGTCCAGGGAAGCCCATATCACTCAGCTTAGCTCCACACTTTCTACAATTACCTTCTCGACTAGAAGTCTGTCAAGAAGTGTTACTAGGAGCACATTATTGTCGGCATATTATGCTTACTTCAGCTCTATCATGACTGCAATTTTGAACTGATGGGCTCACTTCCCGAACTCTGCTCAAATTTTCAAGTTACAACGACGCTGTGTTAGAATTATTGTAGGTATGAAGTACCCAGAATGCTGCAGAGATCGCTATGCCAGCACTGATTATTATTGCATAAATTTTACCACAGACATTAAACAGCTACATTCAAATAGCTTTAAGTTTAGAGTCACAACCTATCTACTAAAAAACGCATTCTATTCCCTCTAATAGTATCTAGAGTGTGATTTACTGACATTTCAAACCTTTTTTATTATGTAAAATGTGTATCGTTCAATACATACGTGTTGTGTCTTCTTTTTTTTAACCATCAAGTATTTTGCCCACTCTAAATTAATTTAATGTGTCTTACTAATTTCATTTCAAACAAGTTTTATAATTATTGTCTTGTAAAATCACTTCATGTTATACTTTTCAATAAATAAACTAAACTAATAGGAAACTATTGTATAAACATATCTCTTGAATGTGACAACCTGCTTTGCAGATTACAGAGAAGAATTGAAGATAAGTGTCTTGTTTCCATCTCGGAAAAAGTCGAATAATCCAATATACATAATCTCTAAACTACAGATAGTAAAGATCCACCATCCAACATGATCCACCTACATGTGAAACGTTGAAGCCAAAACTTTTTCATCATCATAAGCGGCGCCAAGCGATTTGTCTCTCGGAATCCGCTCGAGTCCATCTATCTGCGAGTGGGTGAACTATTTAGTAATATCCTTCTTTCTGAAGCAGAAAAATCACTAACTTTGAAATTCTGAAGGCTTTTAAATGAGAATATTCAAATACTCCGAAACTTCGAAAATATATTCTGCTTTACCGATCTCGACCCTTCTCTACTCAACAAAAAGAAGTTCACCTTTTCACTCATAGATACCGCCACCTACTGGATAGAATTTCTGGCTTCCTCGCTCTCATAAGGATGGTCCATCTTGCTGGTGTGATTAAGGATAACTCAACTGTTGTAATTTGAGCAAAGAACACAAGAGTCCGAAGATATATCAATGATGTGTTGTTTGTTTCAGACATAATCAGTGATAAATTGAATGTACCTGATCTACTCAGCCATATAAACATTCATGTACCTGAAGTAAAACTACGGAGAATAAATAATATTATCTTCTACATTGATGTTAAATCCAAAGAGCTGTAAATGAATATAACTGTGATATAGATATTTTTACATTTAGTAGTAGAAAAATGGAAGGCTGTTCTCCATCTCCTTAATATTCTCAAATATCCATATTCATAGGCTAATACATATATTGATATTGTTAAAAAATCTGTTATGAACGTCTTGATTTTATATCTTCACTCAACTATCTTCCCCAAAACTTGAGGTATATTGTAATCTTTCTGTGTACTGTATTTTTCTTTTCTTTTTTTGTGTAGTGTATTTTATTGTAGGATGGCCTAAGAAAGTGTTTGGGATCACACGTTAAAAGGTAAGGCCCCCGTCATTCCTTGCTCGCACAAGACTTTCGAAGACTTCTGAGGGTTGCTCGTAAGAGGGCAACCGAATGACGGATAAAACAATTTTAGGAACCGAGATAGGAACTGTCTGTCTGTAATTGGGCCATGGCCGGTTGATTTGGCAGTATAAAGTGATATAATAATCAATATACATTTTGTCACATAAATATCACTTACCATCAAGAACGTCAGGTTTGTATCCGGTTTCATATTCGGCTCCTTTCGTCGCCATCCGCTGCCTGATCTTCTTGCACCGTTTCCGATAACTCTTTCCCCGTTCCTTGGCAGCGACCACTTTCGGATCTTCTTTTCCGTCCGGGGCTTCCACGATCTGTTCGAGATTGTACTGCTCGATGTCGCTCGGAAGCAAGTTGGCTTGTTTCAGAGCTTCTTGGTGCATGGGACCTCTCAAGTGGCTTATTAGGTATACCTCAGATTTAATCTGATGATGAAAAAAACGGCACGATCAAGAAGCGATTAGTTCCTAAATTGCAGGGAACTCTGAGGTCATGGAATCCTCGCGGCAATATCAATTTTCATATTTGAAACCGCCAGCTTGGTCAACAAAAATTCTGACTCGTATAGTATATTATCATGTAGTTATAATATCTCTACTGTTAGCGACGATGTTCAAATCACCACGTAAATGAGCGGCCTTGACGACTCATCGGTATTCGTAATCATCGTGTGATGAAGATTGAAGCAGGTTTAGTCATCAGCATCGTAGCATCAGAACAAATCACTTGTCGATGTTGTATTTTTATAAACGGTCATCTTTGTACAAGCCGTCCTGAGTGCATAGAAATGTGTTTGAGTGTTGAAATTGTGTCTATCTACGATGCCTCCATTTAGAATCTTATACTACTTATAATTAACATTGTCAAGAACTCCATTAAACAGTGTGGAGACTTAAACTGAATTAGATTCGCTAGCGGAGAGATGACTGCATTTTCTAAAAATTTGCTAGACACGACATTGTTTTAAAGAATTCACCCATACTTAGCGAGCAATAAGAACAATGTATCCCCCCTTCAGGGATATCTGAAAACAGCCCAAACATGTTTTTCGTCAAATGAAACCCTATGACGTGATCCCTCATTGGAAAGCTGGTTGAAAGAGGAATCCAGCGTACTGATCAAATTTTAGATTGTAGCACGTTTCAAGATTGCATAAAATAAAAAAAATAACTTTTTTTCAGTTGAATAAGGCATTTTCACCAGTTTGCAACAACACTTTGCTTCAAACTGTGAATAGGGAATACCAACTAAATTTCTCTTTTCAAAAAATGTCATCAAATGTCAACATTTTCGTTGAAATGTCACTTAGGGAAGTGGCTCTTTCTTGTTGTTGGCGTTCTAGAACGTAATTGTTGAACATTTTGTCAGAGACAGAATTTTATAAATACGATATTCATATAGATTTTTTTTACTTACGAGCACATTGCAGACCTTGCATAATTTTTGTGTAGCGTATGGTACCATATTCGGAGCTTGATTGTCATCATTCTGACACCTGTTTATAGATAATTCCAGGGCTCTATGCCTTATTTGTTCCATATTTTCATCGTGTCGTCTCTTGGAATCCTCTTGCTTTTGTTCAATTCGTTTCTGCAGTTCCTGTGTGGACGCCAGCTGTTTTTCGTGTAAGGCCGATAACCTTTCCTACAGAAAAAAATGACTCTTTAGATACCGTATACAATATTGAGAGTTGAGTTGTTTATGAAATGAATGATATTTGCATTCTGATTATCAGGAACCAAATATTGAATTTACCTCGATAACGATTTATTACAAAATGGCGCAGTCGGTAAGATTACGAGACTTATATAGTCTTCATCAGTTGAAACAATTTCGTTTTTGAAAATGATACGAGTATTCATCAAGTCATTTTACATTCTAATACGAATTTCCAGATGGAATATGTGATTGATCAACTCTTTGAACTACACGGCCATACTGTTTTACTTCCATATTACTGCGGTTTTAACCTGATTGAGAGGCTCTGGGATGCTATTGAAAGCAACGTGCGAAAATATAATCAATCACCGCAATAATTGAGCGGGTCCAGGTTTAAACAGCATCAGAACAGTCATTACGACAATAGTTCATAATTTTGGAAGGGCACTTCTGAGTTTCTTTGGATCATAATTAATAAACTCGTATGCTGTATTGGATCTGTTATCTTGAATTTCCAAAATTTGACGAAAGAATCATAATCTTTGAACCCAAAAACCCCCAGATACCAATTTTGAACAGAATCGGATTATAATTGCGAAAGTGTCAAATTTCGTCCGTGATATTGAATCCGCCATCTTCACTTTTCAAATTTTTTCTCTCATAAGAACCTCCTGACAATAACAAACACAACAAAATAAGAATCAGTGAAATCGATACAGCCGTTTAGGATTCTATAAAGGGCATACACAAACATTCGCTTTTATATGTATATACCCGGTGACTAGAGGTCACTTTCTTACATTTTAGGAATTTTTTTGGTCTTCCGGTTATCCTGGAGATGACATCAATTCTCGATTTTCGAAGTAACCATATGCTCAATAGGTTCGACGGCGCAATATCAAAACATCTTTCTCTGCCACACTCATTGAGCTTATGTAAACTTCGAACGCGAATATCTTTGTAATCATTTGAAATATCCCAATCAAAACCCGGTATCGTTGAATGCGTTATAATTATCCCACCTCAGCTGTCAGCCGTGAAGCGTAACAAGACCGAGAGTTCTATGTAACCATGAATGAGAACCATGACCAACGTGAAATAATTAGAATACAATGATGGAAGGTAGCGCAACTGTGATCAACAATAGAATTGAGAATTTAGGTTTGGAGACCAAAGTAGGAAAACAGTTATAACAGAAAATTTAGGAACATAGGGAATTGAACAATTTTTGACAATCAAAATGAGTTTTTTCGTTGAGAGAACACATTTTTATCCTTCAATGAAGCATTTATCTCTAAAACTTCTAACAAATTCAATAAATTGCCCTTATGGCAAATATGTAGATTATCCAGATCAGTATTCAAATCAAAGGAATGTTGGGAATTGAGGACATGGTTAGCAAAAGATCTTAAATTCATCATCTCTGGTAGTGTTTTTAAATTTATCTATAAGTCTAACGTGTTCATTAACTCGATGTAGATATTTTATTGGGAAATTGCGCTCACCTCCCTATCTCTCGCCTTCTCCCTCGCCAACTCCTGCCGCTCACGCTCCCGCTGCTGCTGCTGCTGCCCGATCCGCTCGTCGCGCAGCCGCCGCTCGTCCTGCAGCCGGTCCAGCCGCTCCAGCCGCTCGCGCTCCAGCGCCCGCCTGCGCTCCTCCACCGCCGCCTCCTTGGCCGCCTTCTCCTCCTGCCGCTTCCTGCGGTCCTCGCGGATGCCCTGCAGGCGGCCGCGCTGCTCCCGGCAGGACACGAGGAAGTCGTGCCTGGAAGAAGGAGGATGATCAGACGAAGGGTGCATTGTTAACATCTTTTTTCTGTGACGGGAAAAAAGTTTGACATTTCATCTCTGTTGACAGGTTATAAAATGTCACTTTTCAAAAATTACTTTTTTCCCGTGGGAAAAAAGTGAGTACTTTTTTCCCGGATACTCATAAGTATGGTAGATATTTAATTCAGAATATTTTATTAAACAAAATTAAAATTTCCTTTATATCAAAAGTACAATTATTGAATGTGCATTGCATGAATGACACGTTCCTTGAAGTATTCGGAACAACAGTAGAATTTTCTCGTGTTGAAATTATATTTCTTTCTGCCATGGACACAACTGCCGTTGATGTACCTGGTTGCAAATGGGGTGTTATTTCGGCAATGCCACAAGTTCTGAATACTTTATTAGCTATTTCTGTTCTGTGTGATACCGATTCATCAACATATCCTTCAGCGACCGTTGATGACTTCCAACCGCCATGTTTCTTCAGTGTCAGCAAATCTCCCCCAGATTCAACTAAAAGTGTAGCAGACGATCTTCGAAATGAATGGCCTGTATATGAGGTAGCATTTTCAAGTTTTACAAAACTAGCTACTGTTTCAGGTACCATATAAAACTGATTTTTACCTACAACCTGATTGACATATTTTCCATTGCGATATGCATAAAACAGGCGGCGATCCTTTGCTGTTGCTGGACGCAGGGCTATATATGTTCGGTAAAATTTAATATATTCTTCAGTAACTACAAATCTTCTGTCCACATCATTCTTTGTTTGCTTGAGTTTCACAATGATTACCGTTCCTGAATCTTGAATATCATTTTATGTTACCTGGCTGATTTCACAAATTCGACAAGCTCCTCCAATCCCGAAAGTTGTTGTTGTAACTTTGGCCATTAAATAAACTTCATCAGGAGCATTATTTAAAAATTCTCCAATTTGTGTACTCGTAAAAATCGCTTTTGTAACATTCTTTAAATCATTGAATAATTTGACCACACTGTTGATGGATTTTGTTGCTGAGCCAGTTCAGAAAAATAGGCCAATACCACCGTTTCCGAGAAAGAACTGCTTGACTTTTTCATCCTCCATTCCATGAATCTTGAATACGCGGTTTCGTAAATTTTCCGCGATTTAGCTGGCAATAATTTTTGTGACGCTTCTTTCGCTGCTTCAACTAACTCCGGTGGAGTAAGAGAAAACTCGAATTCAGACATTTAATATTATTCAACACAGAATTAAATTGACAGAATATGACAATAGAATGACATAGCAACAAAGATGCCTACAATGGAGGTGTAAGAAGTGCAAATTTCACATTGATAATTTTCTGATTATATGTAATATCTTTTCAATATTAGAGCGTCTTTCTTCCTGTCACAGAAAAAAATAGTGTATTATACACGGGAAAAACTTTTTTCCCTTGTATAATAAATAACTATTTTTCCACCACTAGCTATAAAACCTACCATTATTCACTCTTTTTCGAGGAGTAAAATGTGTTTTTACTACCAAGGTAGTTTTCCTCATTTTATGAACTACTAGTCAATAAAGACATAGCCAACTAATAATAATAATATATTCATCCAATAAGCAAGCAAGTACATACATGTATATCCTACCGCTTATCGAAAAGGCTTGTATTCATGCTAACAAATCTCAGAGACATGTTAGATTGATTTTCAATACATCCTGTGGAAACAAATCAACTTTTAATACAAAAATTAATATTGTTTGGTTAACTCGATTTAACAAAAATTATATAAAACCAGAACAAGACCAGAAAAAATATGGATATTTGTTTGGTTTACTTGATTTAGGCATACTTATATAAATGAAAATAATGAGAAGCGAAGAGGATCACATCCAAATGATTAGATGCGTTAACGTTGGTTCAGGTTCGCACCCGATAGTGGTCAAGGAGCTATCTGGGACAGCCCTGCACTGATGACAGCCAACAGCTCGAAACCGATCTGCAGGTAGTCACTCGTTCTTGAACCACTTAGGCGCAGCTTGGCGTTTAGGAAGGAAACACTTGCGATTTTATTAGTCTATGCAAATTATTGCATAGATTTTGGGAGGAAAAGCAGTGAATCGTTTTTCATTGAACCTTAAATAGTAACAGTGTACTGCCTATCCATACTGAAAACTGCTAGTATCATACATAAGTATGGTCATACCAAATTCGAAATTAGAGCCTAGCCAAAGCACCATACGGGAAATATTGCCACGGTGGCAAGTCAAGAGCGTATAAAATTGTTTTGTAGTTTGTTTTGCCAGAAGCGTGGTGGTCATTAGAGTAGTGTTCCTTCCTCCGAAGGAGGTTTTTGGTTTTTACAATTTTGATTTTCCTCCATCCCATTGAAAAACCTAATCACCACAGAAAGCGATTGATCAACTCCCCCCCCCTTGGTGACCTCGGTGAGACTACCTATATAAAGGGCTCAGCCCTAGGAGATAGGCCTCTGTGACTAACACCTCGCATATACACCCACATTCCTTGGCCAACATCAGCCAACTCTGCACCACGCGGAGGACCATAGCACACAGAAGAAGTTCTGTTTTATGTTCTTTTATTTATATATGTATGTGTAATATGCGATGTAATGTTTAAAACACTGAAGACAAATATATGATTTAATACCTTCCTCCGAAGGAAGAGACCGGGGTTCGATCCCTACTCCAGCTGATCTTTTTTTTTTTTTTGAGGTAATTAATAGAAAAAATACTATGGAGGCATTTATTGGTTAGGCCGATAGTGATTCGCTATTTGCTATTTCAATTATGTTTCTTCTCAGGATCGGCCGGAAATTTTCAGTTTCTTGAGCCCAGCAAACAGCGAGCGAGGCGCAATATTACCTCGCTATGGTGCTGTGACTAGACTCTAGTAATTCGAATAACCCGACTTGAATAACAAGTCAACTTCTGTCTAAAAGGCCTACTTGTAAAACAAAAAATCTATTCTGAAAATTTCATTTTTTGTTCGCATTTTTATCAATATGATTTAGGAGTGGCCTAATTTATGATTTTTTTATTGTTACATTTCTATCTCCTTCTCTCTTTCCCTCTCAGTCTCCCCCTTTAACAAGAAAACGTACGTATTCCAAAATGGCGTTACCTTTTATTTTGAGCTTCCAATTCATTTATGAAGGCAATTTCTTTTAGTTTTTCCTCTTCATCATGTGCCTTTTTGATGATATCTTTTATGTGCCTTTTTCTGTTTTGAGCTGCCTTCTGTAACCTGAAAGAAATACTCAATGACATTTTTGGTATTTGCCTCGTGATATCATGTCAGGATGTTGCGTTTCTACACCCTACTGACGGTTTGAAAATCGACCTAACCTCATTTCCATCCTTATTCGTTTCTCTTCAATCAACTGCAGTTTAGCGGCTTTCACGTCTTCCACTCTGGCCAATAGTGCCTGCAGTTTTTGGGCCTTTTCATGCTGCAAATCCTGTCGTCTCTGCTGCGCTTTGGCCTGCTTAGCTTGGAATTTTCGGACGGTCTCTGCTAGACTGCACCTTCTTGAAGGATTGGACAACTTTTGATGAAGTTCATGAGCTCTGCCAGGGTGCCTGGCATTTAGGGCTTCCAAAGCTGCCAAAGTGTCGATCCTATCGCTCCAAGACATCTCTGAAAAAGCAATCAAATTTAAATTCCTTTTTATCATGGCACTCCTACCGACTGCGCCATATCCAATTACACGAAGATATGTATCTTCCAGAATATGAAACTTTATAATAGAAATAAAAAACTGTTCTGAATTTACTAGCTTTTTGAATTCTCCAGTATTTTCAAGTTTACAATGTTTAAACTTAGAAATTATATCGGAAGATCTTCCACAGACAGTACCAGTATCATTACCAGACACAAATTAAGTCTCTAATGGCGAAAATATTGAAACCAGTGAGAACATTGAGAGTAATTCCGTCAATGAGATGACAGCTTCTATGACCAAGATCCGCATAACCACAGAAGAGGCCAAAGATGCACTGGCAGAAAGAAGGCGATTGATTCGTGAAGAAGCTGAAAGACAAGCTGAAATGAAGAGATTACGAATTGAGGCTGAAGCCAAAGCTGAGATAGAGAGGAAGCAGAGAGAGGAAGAGCAAGTCAGACAGTTGATTGAGTTGCAAAGACAGACTGAGCAAGAGAGGTTACAAGAGGCAATAAGAGACTCAGAAACGTGAAGAAAAAGAAAGGCTGAGACGAGAGGAAGAGCGAAGATTTAAGGTACTCAAGGAAGAGTCTGATAGGAAAGCTAAAGAAGAAGTTGAGAAACAGAAGGCAGAGTTGCATGAAAAATTGAATAATGAAGAGAAAGAGAGAAAAGCCAGGCGTAAAAGAATAGAAGCGATCATGTTGAGAACAAGAGGAGAACATAACGCCAAATAAGTCTGATGAGAATAAAGATAATGATAGTAAAGTGAATGGAACGAAGATAGTTGAACAGCAAGAAAATGGGACTACAAATAGTAGTGAAGATGCAGATATCGATAATTTGTAGTTGTACCACGATGATCTTTCAAATGCCCCGAAGGGTAGAATGATCATCTAGTCCTTAGAGCCATCTAGTGGCAAAAGTACAAAGGTGTATGAGTAGATGATGAGAAACCGAAAATCTCAAGACTAAGAGATCTTGATTCATTAGGCCGTGTTATAACAGAGATTGAATGTTAAGTGCATAAGGACAAAATATAAATTGTTCTAAATGACTCACCTGCTAGCATAGGTTCATATCTGGCCTCCAAAGACATTTGATCATTCTCCAAATCAGCAATAATGCAGTCTCTATCGTCTTCAGCATCACCTTGCAGATCATCACCGTCTGTCTCTGTACCATCCGTCTCAGTATCAACCTCTATTTCCAACCCTTGCAAATGCTCTATTTCCTTGGTAAGCCTATCTTCTTCTTCGGATAGTTGTTTGGCTTTCATTCTATGTTCTTCCTCAGTAGCTAGCTCATCCTGTATATCTTTGAACTTCATTTCATCATCGGTTTCCGAGTCCACGTCCGAGATTTTCTTGGTATCCTTGTGCAGCTTCTCACGCTCTGCAGTCCTTTTGATCTGTAGATTGGTTTTGTTTTTTTCTTGCACAGAACTTTTATCGACTGTCACTTTGCTCATGGTGGTGTTGGATCTTCGTAGGAACCCTTTCTTAGCATCCGAGTTACTCTTTAATGATTTCAAGGTATTTAAGTTTTCTTTTACGCTCTTCTCAATAGATTTTTGAGGCTTATTCAGATCAGGCGTTTCGGGTAGTAGTGCTAGAGCAGGTAAGCTAGCAGTGGCGCTAACTTGGTGAAATCTAGTTGCCCAAGATAAGGCAGTATCAGATCGTCTCGATTTATTATTCTTGAACCTGGATCTACACTTGACAGTCAACCAACCGTCAGTAGGCTGGTTTTTATTATTATCATTGTTTATGGTTTCGGATGAGCTAGCTATGCTGTTACTCGAGTTAGTGACGTTAGCAGAGTTAGCAGATCTGTCTTGGTTCACTAGCGTCTCAACAGAACTAGCATATTCGTCTAGCGAAAGCGATTTAACTAATTGTTCTTTGGTTAGAGTGGTTTTGCTTTTTTGTAAAAGCATGGGTTTCTGAACGCTCTTCTGTTGTACAGTCTTTGGGTGGGTGGTGGGCAGTACCTTAGTACGTGCGGTATAAGCAGCGGCTGGAACAGCGTTTTTCATATCACTTACTGTCTTACTTCTTGCCAGTACGTTTCTCTCAGGTACATTCCTTGCATTGGCAGGATTCTTCGCTGAAATAGTCCTGATCAGTTTTGTAGGAGTGCGGTTCACAGTGTTCACATTGACGTTCGACTTGACCTCGACCTTGGGTTTGGGTGGTACAGTTTTGGACAAAGCGCTCTTTGCAAGAGCAGTTGAATAAGCAGGACGAGCTACAGGTATCGGTTTGGCAGCTTTGACCTCAACTTTGTTCACTTTGGGCGTACCCACGGTGACTTTTTTTTCATTTTCTTCAGTCTGGCACTCCTGATTGATCTTCACAACGTGGTTGCGTTTGATGGGCAACTTTGGAAAGTCTTCATCAGTGGAGGTGCTCTTTTCCGAACTCTGCACCCCGAACTTACGTAATGTGTCGTAAGTTCTTTGGTCTTCACTGGGAGAGTCGATGTTTTTTATTGCTGGTTCTACAGTCAATGTTGAAGGGTCATTGAGTTTCAAATCTAAGGTGTGTTTTTTGAGTTCAGGGCTAGTCGACTCTTCTAGAGGTTCTATTCCACTTAATTCTTTATGTTCGACTGTAGGAGTTGATTCTTTGTCAGTGTTTTGTTTATCTATGCCAATTTGTCTGGCACACTTGGTAATTGACGTGTGATCAACATGTTTCACTTTCGCCTGGGATATTTTGTCAGATTTCACACTAGGCGATTTGAGTTTTTGAGGACACTTCAACTTACAATCTGTAGGTTTCGTTGAATCGGTTTTCTTTTTGACTAAATTAGTGTTCTTGGGAGTTTTTAGTATTGTTGATGAAGTTTCTGTAGAGGCATCATCCAAGCTAATAGTTTCATTTGATATAGAAACAATGTGCTCAGAATCATTGCAAAATGCTTCTTCTACATTGTTAATATGTTCTGTCACAGTTGTCTTCACAGAACATGAAAGTGAATCTTTTCCAGAGGTTTTAACCTCAATATTTGATGTATCTGTTTTGAGTACTGAAGGATCATTAACGAGTTGATTGTCTAATAATTCTGCTGACTGATTCGGAGTTATTGGAGTTTCTAAAGGTTCACCTTCAATAATTGGCTGGTCTAGATAAGGCAAAGGACTAGTAGGGCATGAATTGGACGGTTTACATTTTGACACCAGAATTCTTGGACTCATCTTTCCAGAGATGTTGGGACTGTTCCTACCGGAACCAAGATTCGGGCTCGACTTTCCAGATCTCGGAGTTTTTGTGAGATTCGTTTTGCATACATCCCAAGCGAGGGAGTTGGGCCTTTGTAAGGCTGGTGTGTTTTCGTAGTCCCATTTGATACGAAACCAATCCGCTAAAGAGGTGAAATCTCTCAAATAGTTACCAAGAACTAGGAGGACTTCTTGACATTCGGTTAGACTCTCGTGAGTTTCGACAGTATTGTATATTTCGGCGATCTGAAATGCAAAAATTGCATCCTCTAGTATAACTATAGACCAAGAGCCAGAAGTTAAATTTGCCGCCTGATAAGTTACCACAAAAATTACATTGCAGTGGTCGCTTAATAACGAATTTCGAAAAAGTGCCAAAATCGACCCAGAAGCGACTCATTATTTCCAGGATGAAAATACCGAGGGGCAAACAACTCTCATTAAAGTGTACAACATATTCAAAGTATGTGATATTTGTAAGTAATGAAAATATTTAAAAAATATTTTTAAGTAAATTATGTAATTAAGAAGTACTGAAGAGTAATTAAAGAAGATTTGAGAATTAATCAGAATACATATAAGATTCAAGAAACTTTGAAAGGAATTGAGAAGAATCTTATGATATTATAAAGGTATTTGAAGTAATGAAGTGTACTCAAGTATTGGCAAAGGAATTAAAAAGTATTTAAAGATAATTGAAGTGATTAAAATACATAATACATAAACAGGGTGATGAATTTTTCGATGCTCACCATTGGATTTTCGGAAGTGGTAAGATATACGAGGTTGGGTTGGTTAAATTAGAGAAAAGTTGCGCCATTCCTGCCGACCGATATGAATAACTATCAATATAATCAGTTTTTTCAGAGACAAACATGCCATTTAAATGAAAAACGATACATTTTTTATGAAATCATATTAGGCAAACCCCCATTTGTAAATTCTCATATGATTTCTTCCAAAATAACAAACACATCTAAACAGACATTTTATGAACGTACCTGATCGGTATTTATTCGGAAACGGTGAGTTCAACGTAAAAACGTATATCTTGATTTTTCTTTCAAATCATTATTTTTTATCTACTGGAGCTATTGAACGTTCCGAAATCATAAGGAACAATATTATGAAGTTAGTACCAAAAACCGACCCCTCTATATTTAAAAAAAAAGTACGGCACGGCCCAAAAGTATGTACCTCTATGAAAAACTGAATAATATAAATTTTATTTTTTTATATCAGTATTTCATTCTCGTTGTATTTGTATTCGAGAGTTGATTTAGATAAATATTCATCAGCGAAGATACATCTGTAGTAACAAAATTATTATAAAACGAAATTTTTTGAAAACCTAATTTTTGAAATTCTCAAGAAATTGTTCCCTTTCTCTATGGGAGAAGGAGCTTTGATGAAGACCAGTAATCAGTAAGCCAGCTCAGAGAGTCTATATAAAAGTCAAAAATCGGGACTCTGGGATTCACTCAGTTTCAAACGGAACTTAGGCAGACGAGAAATGTGAACAACCTGGTCTCCTCTAATACGAAAATGATGTCAGGAGATTTCAAAAGTATTTGAACTATTTGAAGTAATCAAAAATAGGATGACTGTACTGAAAAAATAATTAAAATATTATGAAAGTAACCAAAATATTTGAAAAGGAATTGAAGTATACTTAAAAAGTAACTATTTAAAATAGTCAAAAAGTAATCACCAGAATACTGAAAAGGTAAGGAAAATATTTAATAAATAATCGGAAATACTGAAGATACTGAAATGGTAATTTACAAATAATTAAAATAATAAACGGATTTAGAAAAGTAATCACAGAGTGTACACCATATTTGAAGAGTTGTTTGTCCCTCGCCGAAGTTTTTGGAATTATGTAGTGAATCTAAAACTTAAGCATCTGCCGGTTGATACGGTCACATTTTCAAAGCAGACGGCGTTCATCCAGTGAAATAAACGCCTTCCAGTTCCTCATAACTTATGACCTAAATATTTGTGCAGAATAGTTATTTATGTACCAAGGACAAAAAACTGTCTATTATAGTCGAGTCAGCAAATTGATAGCCGAGGCTAGCAATCAAGAAAATAGACAATGTGCGAAATAATCGGCATTAGGCTAGGATTAGAGCCGTAAACTAGCCACAAATGATGGTATAACTAATTTCCTAATTTCCTGATTGATTTTTTTGGTTTGCTATTGGATTGTCATGTTCATGTTGGATTTGGGAAAATTTATGAATAAAATATAAACAAAAATATCGATGATAGGCTGAACAAAGAATCTTAAAATAGCCTTAATTTATGGTATAATCAGTTTTGTGATGGAACATTATTTTGATATGCTATTGGTTTGTCTTGTTCATGTTGGATTTGGGATTTTTTTTGCAAAAAAATCGATGATAGACTCAACAAGGAGCCTCAAAATAGTCTTGAATTATGGTGTATTCAATATCCTCATATTCCTTCTATTTTAGACTTGATTCTGCTAGCTTAAGTGGATGATATCGATGATACTTCAGTTTCTCCTCTATTAAGGGGTAGAAGACGAGGTAAATATTTGAAATTCCAGAACGGACTCCGTCCTTCTCACCAAATATCTCCGCCTCGCTCGTTCGATAGGCGCATCTTATTACCGCGAAGAAGACATACGAGGGGATGTCCAAGATAATTCGAGAGCGAAATATGGAAAAGTGAAGGGTTTTTAGATGCTGTGAGATAAGTTGCCGTGAATTTTCAAAGCTGCTCTTCTGTATGATAGTTAGAAGGGTCATTTTGTAGCATGAATGCGAAACTGCTGTTTTTTTTCTCACGATGATTTCATCAAAATTCTCTTGATCAATTCACCATATTTCTCGACTTTTGAGTGAAATAGGAATTTCCACAAGGATACAAGGATTATATTGTTATTGAATATATTCATCAGTTTATTGCTGTATATTGACCGATATGGGGAAGATGCTATTAGAAACTATAGGACAAATACGATATACAGGGCGATTCATGAAGAGACTCACATAGCCAAATGGTGAATAGGGGAAAACAAAACAAGTTGAGATTCCATGTATGAAAGATTCTGTTGACCTTCAATAACGAAAATATTATGTGAAATTGCCATATTATAATTTCAATGGCCGACATTTCAGATATGATTCATCCCAATTAGGCAGCGACGTTTCTTTATTCAATTCATGTTCTCTTGTTATAAGTATAGAAAAAGCTCATTTTATGATCAGTTTTCTAGAAACATTTCATCAGATTCAGGAAGATCAGACATAATGCCATAAGAACTGCTCTTCAATTTGCACAACACACTTTGATCGGTTCATTAAAAAATATGAAACAAAAACGTTCGAATGAATTTTCAATTTGAACCTAGCTGATAACTCTCTCATTTCAACTGGATTCATGTGAATTCACGATAGGAATCGACAGATATAAGTAGTTGATAAGAAACCACAGAACTGCTTTTTGGGTGATTTGAAATGTTCGTTTTTGATCGACATCGTGACTTGTTTCTATTTGTATTTACAAATATCAATGAAGTATAATGAAATAGTATAGGCGGTGTTTTTCATCATTTGACGTGACGTGACATCTGTTGATAATCCGAAAATATGGGTACTGGTGAAATTATGACATGAAGATTTCACACAATTGAGTTAACAATGAAAGACAGAATCATGAGAACATATTCAAAACGGAGTTGTTATTTGCTAGAGAGAGAGAATTTCTTATAAATGAGCGATCCGTATTCTGACGACAGATATAATTATTTTATGCCAAACTGACAGACTTTGCTCCGCTATCCATGGTTATATCTTCGGAAACACCAACGCTGATAGACCAATTGAAAGACCGCTTGTGTTTTCGCGATTACACACGTTGTGATGTGATTGATCAGATTATGTAATAAATGAAATTAGTATATTGTTTAACGAGCACGGAAAGATAGTGATTTCCTACGTGAATAAAGTTTGCAGCATGAGCCGTATTGGCGAATGCTGCCATAATTTTTCTACGGCTATAATAGATAACAGCGACATCTTCGATTTCTTCGTCTTGTAGCCATTTGATTTTCTGTCAAGTAATGCTCATCTATTAGACAGCGATGTCTTTGCTTCACATTTGACATTCCATGAGCGATGAGATTTTTTTGAAATAATAACACGATGGAGTCATTGTGATATCAGATACGGAAATAATATTGATGATATACAAAGCACCTCATTGACGTATCGAACAGAGTAAAACAAGAGCAATTGTGTGTTATAGCCGTAGAAAGGTTTTACCCATATACATATTCTTGGGTCTGTAAATCTTCTATGGTATTGAACATTGCAAACATTTGAACTTTCTCCATGTTCAGCATTTGAAAAATAAAGTGACATCTTGAGTGCAAGAATCACACGTCACATCATGAAATAAAAAATAGGGCACTACTACTAATATCTATCTAAAATTTCGATCAAGAACTAACATTTCAAATCATCAAATAAATCAGTGTTATAGTGGTACTGTGCTTTTTCTCGTTCGCTCTTTTCTGTCAATTTTTACCCAACAAAAATGTACAAAAAATCGATTCACATGAATCCAGTTGGAACTTGGAAGTACTGTTTACTTCATCAGTCAGGTCGAAATTGAAAATTCATTCGAACGTTTTTGTTTCATATTTTTTTTCATTGAACCGGTCAAAGTGTCGTGCCCTGAAAATGAAGAACAGTGATCACAAAGTGAACTCTTTAGAAATCAGTAAAACATTAATTTTTCCATAAGGTGCCATCTGGAATAGTTTCGATAGAGAAACGTAGCTGCAAAATTTCAGCAAATTACGATGAGTCATTTCTGAAATGGCAATTTCACATCGTAGTAGATGGATTTTTTTTTCACATACAGCGTCCCACACTTGGAAAAACGCTTTTCTCTTTCTATATCTTAGTTATTAGTCGTGCGATTTTTACCAAATTTGGACTGATATTCTGTATCTGGGGTTCTATTAAAATAAAACGGGGTCGATTTTTCATGAAAAGGCATCTTTCAACAGGAAAACGAACCTCATAATATTGTTCTTCATCGTTACAAGAATTTTCACATGAATTCTATGGAGGGTATCAGCATCAGCATTTTTGCGAACGTGAATTAGTATTCTTTGCAACGATCACGAGGAAACCATGTATATGGGAGTGTATTGATAGTTCAATATCATGATAGTTTCATGCACTATTTTTTGTAGGACCACAAGTCGGAAGTGACAACTTCGATGGCCCGTATTGTAAATCTGAATGAAGTTATATCAATATAAAAATATTGATAGAGAAATTTGACATTTGCGACTAAGAACTTCCAAATTGCATCTCATCAAGAGTATTCATTACTCAACCTGTGTATCATAAATGATGTGAATGATTTTCGTAATCCGAGCGAGAAGACAATAAGATCAGATCGACTATCGGTGACTTCGATGCATGTATTACGCTATTCAAGACTTGAGAACATATATAACCGCCATCGCATATCAACATAAATAGATATTTTGAATTGACTCGGCCGTACCAGTATACCACCTGACGAAGCTACTGTATTAGCGAAACATGTCGTGTGTTTGAGAATTTTGTGGAAATCTTATCGTTTGTGGAGTTTTCACATAAATAGATATACCTACACTGGTACGCGTGCTTCCATGACGCGAGTCTGCCGGTTTACTCTCATCCCAGAAAGTGGTTAACTGGCCTATAGAAATTATCGCTACAAAAATCAATTAATTTTTCACTATTTATATTTCAGCATTCTCCAACATCATAAGTACATGAATTGCATGAACTTTTGACGCATTCGCGTTGTCATTATGATTTTCATTTGGATTTAAATGTCAAACAACTCAAGCAAGTGAGATAGAAACATAGACCGACTTGATTATACCCAAGTACTACGTGTTTTTATGGGCCAAAAATTTGTTATCATGATGAAAAGAACGTGTCGTCATTGGTTAAGATCTGTATCATGATAGAAATCTGAGATAATTAATTCGCTTCTTATAAAATGGGAGTAGGAAAAATTATTCATTCGGAAAATATGAGTTCAACAAAAAAAGTGTGCCTTGTTTTTTTTTAAGTAAACCATAATTTTCTACCTACTGGTGCTATTGAACGTTCCAGAATTTGCGGTTAATAATTAGAATTCATTATTTATTCGGGGCTGATAATGAAGAGAGAAATTTGACCCATTCTATAGTATTTTAAAATTATTGAATTTTTGCACATGGAGGTTCGAAAACATGAGTAACATACTGTAAAGTTAGTTCCTACAAAAAATCCTGATTTATGAAACCCATTTCAATTTCAATAAAAACGCACGACACTGTCCATAATGATGTTTCATTTCCTTCATATCAATGGAAATTTATACTAGTCCAAATTTTGTAAGAATCGCACGATTGATAGCACTAATAGCTGAGATACAGAGGAGGGGGGGCGTTTGAAGTGAGACATGCTGTATATAATTATATACATACATATATCAATTCGTCTTTTCCCCGTTCTGCTGTTCACCATTTGGCTATCTGAGTCTCCCCATGAATCAAAGAAACCTGAACTTCGAAGTGAACACTCGAAACACTCGCGAAGTCTACCGCTACCGCAATTGGTCAAAAAGTTTATTTCACGAATCCCATTATAGGCGATATTTTCTATATAATACAAAATATCTTCTCTACCCTTGAAGGTCTCTACTTATGTGGAATTCGCCGCTTCAAAAAAAGTCTCGGCTCGCCCTTTTGCCGACAAACGTTTCACCTCGCACCTATGACATCATCTGATGTTTTTATTTATCATTTCGGAGAGGAGGATTCACGGACATCGTGCTATACTTCCTTACTGGAATGCTAAAATTATCTTATAATCCCCATTCGATAATATAAAATAATGTATGGATATTGTGGACAGTATAAAAGTTCCCAAGGAATAGGATGAAGAAACAGAAATGATGAAAAATGATATAGATAACTGGAGTACAAACGTATATGTGTCCTACTTTTTGAATCACACTGGTAAAATCTCAAAAACGCAAAATAAGCCTGTATTCCAATATTGAAACACAGTTTGCACCATTCTCCGGTGAGGACGCTAGGAATCAGTGTCGAAATGTTGGAAAACATGGGATCGCGCGCCCCCACTTTTCCCCCTCTAAAATTTTTTTTTCCTGAAACAAAAAATACTGGGCTCTTCACGAAGGATGAACGGATGTTTCTCTGGAAGCGGATTTTGAGTTTTTGTCTTAGTTTTTTCCAAAAAAAATTCTGAATATACTCGAAAAATGCAATGTTCGTGATTTTTTTGCAGAATATCGGTGAATTTTTTCAAAATTCTGCTTCCAGAGAAACCTAGATATTTCAATTCTTCATCTCACCATATTTTTTGTTTTCCGAAAAAATCAATATTGAACAATGAAAAGTGGGGGCGGAGAAAACATGTTTTCATTGCACTGATGCATGGTGTATCCTCCTCTTAATAGTTAAGCTAGCAAACCCATGAGAAAAAATGAGCAAAAAATCGACAATAGGCTAGGATAAGAGCCTTCCATTAGCCTTAAATTATGGTATAATTTGTTTTTGCATGTCAACTGGACTTATTTAAAGATTGCATCTCAAATACTTCCTTCTAGATGCCATATTCATCTTCAATTATCCTACACTATTTCTTGGTATAATTTGTTTCATGATTGAACTTTTATTGATTTGCTATTGTATTGCCATGTTCATGTTGGATTTGGGAAAATATTTGCAAAAAATGATCAACAAAAAAATCCATGCTAGGTTCAATGAAGAGCCTCAAATTAGCCTTAAATTATGGTGTGCTCAATATTCTCATATTCCTTCAATTTGAGATTTGGTTCTACTAGCTTAACAGCTAAGCTAGCAAAACCCATGATTTAAAAAAACAGTGTGTGGAAAAATCGGCAATAGGCTAGGATTAGAGCCTCAAATTAGCCTCAAATAAAATAATATAAATATGGTAATAAATTCGGCAATAGGGTAATAAATTAGCCTTAAATTATTGCAGGAGAAAAAATTTAAAAATCCTCAAAAAAATCTAGAGTGGTTCTGCTAGCTTGATGACAGTAATAATTGAATAATTATTGTTGAATACAAAGCAAAAAGGAAATGAATATTTTTTTCATTATAATTCCAAAATACTAATAATAGCAAAATTTATAAATTAGAATTCAATCTCTGAATGGGTTCCACAAAAAAAATTCCAATACCTACCTCTTGTCCCTATCCTCCCTAGGAACGCACGATGTTCTTTGAACATTATAGGGATTCCCTTTCGTGCGCTCTAAGCGATAAAAAAAAAAAAAAAAAAAAAAAAATACATATTTTTTTGAAAATAACATAATTGGTAAGACTTCATCAACACAAACACATAATATTTTTGCAAACATTTCAAATTGCTACTAGGTATTGTCTTTGGAATAAATGATTTCATTCTGCTTCATTTATGCTGGGTTTATAGATTCAATTAAATTAACAATTAGGAATTGACAATTTACAATCAACAATTGATAATCATGAGGGTGTTCACACATATCTGATATTAATTCAGAATTAAATGTGAAATGTCTTTTTATTAAAGATCAAAATGATGTTAAAAAGTGATTTTGGTCTCCACAATTCATGAGTCAATAAAAAATATTTCAATTAAATATCACCAAACTCCACCTGAACAATAACAAATCCAATCTTCAATCTTCATGTTCTGTCTCCAGAATTTCATAATTCTTAGTTGTTAAGTTGACAGTTGGCCAACTTTAGAATTTTTAATTCTTGATTTGAATGTATAAACCCTCATAGATGTTTCCTTGAATTCAACTTTTTAAGTTAATTGTTGTTAGTTTAATCCTTAGTTTAGTTGAATCTATAAACCCAGCATTATGAGAAATAATTTAATTTGATATAATCAGAATGTTTATAGTGAGTGAGTGAAATTTCTCAGGAATTATTGCCATTACTTTTGCATTACTAGATCAGGAGTCTGTGAATCATATACATAAATATACAGACATGCATTGATACAGAATATTTTCTCTAGTAAGACCTTCCATTCCTGAAAATTGAGTCAGTGTGAATATATTAAACTTACTGATCTTTGCAAGTTGCCGAATAAAAGGGCCCAATATCTAGCTCTCAATTCTGATCTTTTGTCCCTTCCTGTAGATGCAGATCTTACTCTAGCTCCTGTTCTTCCACGTACTGAAGTCTTTGGAAGATGACAAGATTCAGGGTGTCGCGGTGGGCAAGGGGGCTTTCGGGAAACTTTATCTACAAGGAACAATAGGTAGAAAAAATTGTGAACATTATTATGTATTGTTCATATACTTGTGAAGCTGTCATTTTCTGCTGAAATATTGAATGCCAACAAATTTCGTGCTTCTCGACCTTGCTCTTGCACCAGTAATCTGACTTGCTCCATTTCTTTGTGAAATCAACTTTATTCATTGAATTTTAATATTTTTTAGAATCTTTGGATATTATTATTATTTGAAAACAATCAGTTTTTTGGCATGTTTTCGAAATGTCACTTTCACTAGTGTCACTTGAGTGTCACTGTCAATACTCTCATCAGTCATGTGTCATATGGGTCATATGTCAGCTGGAGACTGCGTTCGTTTGTGATATGGGATATGGGATAGCTACCCTGCTACACCTGAATCTGATTTGATTGAAAATTGGGTTTCGATAATTCGATAAGGATCATTATACGGTTCAAATTCAAGTTCATGCCATCATTATTCATGAGATGATCGAGAGTTTTCAAACAATCACCTCAGCTGACAGTGATCCATTCGGAAGATCGGATGTCAAAATTGTTCTATTACATTTTCTATAAAATCTAGCACAGTTTTCGTGCTCAGTCTGCTACAATGAAAATTAATTAAAGAACAAAGAACAGTATTTGAGAGGCGAGGGGCGAGGCAAAAATACTTGATAAGGAAACCTTGATATGATTCATTTATGATTCATTTTTAATTACAAAACAATACAATCACTGAATCAGTATTTTCACCTCGATTTTCTACGGTGAGTATCAGTGACTGTGAAATTAAAATAATTTCATAATCATCTTGAAGAACTAGTAATAAAACTAGTAGTATTTTTAAACGTTTTTGAAATTCATCAATCATCACACTGGCTCAATTTACGATGACCGATCGTTTTGGTTTGAAATGGGATCCAAAAAACCTAGAAATAAGAACAATGTCCGTGGAAAAAACCCTGGAACCCCTGGTTCTACAAGTAACGACTCTGGTAAATACAAAGGGCCCCAGTAAGAAGAAGAAGGGCAAATCCAAACGTGCCAATGCTCTGGTGAGTACAGTGGAAAAAGCCACCGAAAATTTTATTGAAAAGGGGGAACAGATTGCCTATGAGAACCCTGATATAACAGATGAAATGTTAGCAGCAGTTGATGAGGTAAGAAAGACTGGTACTGCAATGAGTATAGCAGCTAGGGAGTTTTCTGAAGACCCTTGCTCTTCCCTTAAAAGAGGCAATATGGTACGTGCTGCAAGAAACTTGCTCTCAGCTGTTACAAGATTACTGATTCTTGCTGACATGGTTGATGTCCATTTGTTGCTCAAATCTTTACATGTAGTAGAGGATGATCTAGAAAAACTGAAAAATGCTTCAAGCCACAGTGAACTTCTGGACAATATTAAATCATTTGGACTTAATGCCAATGAACTCATGAATCAGGCTGCTAAAAGACAACAAGAACTCAAAGATCCCCAGCTTCGTGATGACCTTGCAGCTGCTAGGGCTGTGCTGAAGAAGCACTCCACAATGCTGTTGACTGCATCTAAAGTATATGTACGCCATCCAGAATTAGCTGCAGCTAAAGCCAATAGAGACTATGTTTTGAAGCAAGTGTGTGAAGCTGTCAATACTATAAATGATGTAGCTCAAGGACGTACTCCACAGCCTGCATTTGGGCCATATGATGGACCAGGAGAACTAGCAGCAGCTTTAGATGACTTTGATGTGAGTAGCTTCAATTTCTATTGTGAACAAATAATAATATTTTTTTCAAATTGTAATTGGATGTTAGGATCATATGATTATGGAACCATTGGCATACAATGAAGTTCATACAAGACCATCTCTTGAAGAACGTTTAGAGAGTATCATCAGTGGAGCTGCTCTTATGGCTGATTCTAGTTGTACTAGAGATGAGAGGAGAGAAAGGATTGTGGCAGAATGTAATGCTGTTAGACAGGCTCTGCAAGATTTGCTGTCAGAGTACATGACTAATGTAAGTCCACTAATAGTGGAGTTTAAAATATTCAAATAAATCTATTTAATTTACAATTTATTCTAATAATCCTTTAGTTGAGAATTTATTTTTGTCTTTCTGTATACCTGAAACTGAGGAATACATAGTTATAGTCATAGAAAATAAAACAGTATAGACAAGCTTCATGATAAATTCTTATCAATAACTTATTGATTTGTTTTATCTGTTACTGTAATCTAAAATAATCTTTCATCAGTGTCCATCAATCAAAAAATGCAAAAATGATAATAGGGGTATTCCAGGTTTTCTTTTTTTTTCTTCTTATATCATTCATATGTATTTTCTAGATTGCATGGGAAATGTAATTTTCCTAAGTGAATGAAGGAGTAGGAATACCCCCTTATAATCATGTTATTTTGGGTCTGTGATATGCCCAGACAGGAATTGGAACCAAAGGAGATATCCCCAAAGCTGCTATATTCCTGAAATTCCGGATTTTTCTCAAAGATCCCAAAATACAAAGAATATTATCAAAACCCTGTGATATTTTCAAATTTCTAGGAATATTTGCAAAACCATTGGGAATGATTCCAGAACTTCTGGGATTGTACCTTAAACTACCTCTATTCTCATTAAAATTTGAATTTTTCACAATTTTCATGTGAAGAAAATGAAAATTTGATCCTTATTTACAGGATGTTTCTAGATTAATTTTTAAAATCAAATAGAAACACATTTTATCACATAAAAGAAGCAATGTTCAAAAGTCTAACCTCCAAACAGTATTCAAAAGTCTGTTCTTTTCTGTCTTGAAGGATCTGAGTTATGCTATTGCAAATTGTTGTTTTTAGCTTTGTATGTGCTATTGTTTAGGCATGTTTAGTCATTTTACTTCTCCTAGAATATTTTCTGTTGTATTAAAGAAAATGTATTTTTAAGATGGGCAAAAAAGATAAAAGTGATACCCTCAACAGAGCCATTGATAATATGGGTAGAAAAACAAGAGATTTGAGAAGACAACTAAGGAAAGCTGTAGTTGATCATGTTTCTGACAGGTAAAATTGAGTTTAACTAATGATTTTTATACCAGGTGTAACAGTTTTTAAGATAAACCATTGAAATTAACAAATCTTTTCACTACTTCAGGAACTTTTGATATTCAAACACAAAACCTTGTATATTATTGCATTACTTCCTGTTCACAATGATATCACACAAGTAGCATTTCAATCCAAAGTAGACATACCAATCAACTCAGCTGATTTTGTTTTTTACATTTAGTATACAATTATAGTATTCTTTATATTAGGTGTAATGTGCATTTAAATATGGCATGCTTTCAAAAATGCAATAATATAGAGGTTGTTTCATTGAGTGGAAGTGGCAACAATTATTTATGTTATATTCTGTCATCTATCATCAAAACTAAAGGTTGATATTTTGGCGAACAACCCTGGTTTATGGTTTATTTAATGGAAGAACATTCTCGCCAAAATGGAGTTTTCCATCATATGTCTCAAATAACCCCAAGTGATAACTCCAACCTCCGGAACTGTAATATGTCATTATCTGTGTTTTATTTGACAACATCTAACACAGTAATCTGTCTCGTTTTTCAATTTTACGATTATTGGTAATTTTATTTTTGTGTTGGAATCCCTTGGAAATTCCAGTATTATGAATGATTAAGAAACCAAGGACATATCAATAATTGTTGCAAGAATGTAGAGTACTAGTTTCCTAACAGTTATGACACTGGCATCTTCATAATGTTCATGATGAGTAAAGTAACATGCATTGAATTATTGGACAGTGAGCAAGAAAAATGATAAAGCCGAGGATAAAGCAAAGACCCATAATGGGGGCTGACTGCTTAGAAATAGTTACTAGTACAAATTTTGTCCCTGACTAAATAAGTAATCAAATCCCAATCAACACCTTCCAAATTGTTTCAAACTACGATCAAAAACTATACCGCTCTCTCCTATGAACATCCATCCCTTCGAGCATTGCTTTCTACAAACCTCGTTCTAAATAAGTAATGACGTCATAAGTTCGTCCCCAAAGCAAGGAGTTTCATCCATCTTCCTCCATCCATTGAATGTAGTTGGTCGCCAAAATATAACTAAGGAAAGAAGGGGAGTATCCAAAGCCCTCAAAACACTAGAGACTAAACGTTTCATTGTTAAACTGCTCTGAAAGCCGATCTGTTATTGCTTGGATACATGCAACTAGTGCGAGAGAGATAATTGCACATCGGCGGCTGTTTGGCAACAATGTATGATTGATGATGTTTGGCACCTATGTCTATTGAATCAACAAACTATAACATATGCCTGTTTTTCATTCCAACAATTCGTCATGCACATGAATCGAATAAACCATCAAATTGATGCAAAAATCCGCTGGAATGTTGATGGAAACCCTTAAAACTGTTGTTATATAATTCGCACTTTCAATTTGCATTTATAGAATCAAGTGGTTTGGGAGAGATTGACATGACAATTGACACATCTTTAGTATTCTTCATTGTTTTGACATTTTGTCATGGAGTATAAGAAATATTTGGACATGCTGATTGCTCGATAACTTGATTATAATTGTTGAGTAACCTTGATCATTTATGTAGAGAAGAAAAAGGACAGGTCCCAATACGGATCCCTGGGGAACTCCATGAGAGGTACTTCCCACTTCACAATACCTGCAGCTAGTACGCACAGTCTGCACAGTGCACTGGATCGAGAAAATGATACTGAGATCAGTCCAGTAGTAGTAGGTGGGGAGGCTGTAGCCAAGCAAGTAGGCCCCATCAGCCCAAGGCAACGCGTCTGCGCCCATAAACGTTGAGTTTTTTAAGAAGCATATCAATTTTTTTGTAATTTTTATTCCTTCTAAGATTTCTCAAAATAAATTCCCAAAGAAATGCTCCTGTTAGATCACGACGGAAAATCGTCAGCGGCACTGACGTCACAAGTTCTATTACGCATCGACCGTCTATTGGTAGTCTAGTGGTAGAGAAAAAATCGATAATTCACCAGTGAAATGAACAGCGTTGCCGTTTCAACCAATTCTTTACTTCTTTGGATATTTTTCAACATTTATCGCTCTCAAGATTTAATTGACTTCAACAATATCAAGAATGAAATTGAGCAAGACAGTGTAAAACTCACTTGTTCTTGTTTTCCTCTACACTGGATTGTGGCATGTTATGACATAGATAATAAAGTGAGGTCACCAGAAAATGAGGTTCATTAAGAAGAATACCAGAATCGTTCAGTCAGATTGTTCTATAAACCTATGTTTAATCGAATAATTATACCAAATTTCGTCGCTGCTGATCGAACCTACAACGTGCTACAACCTACTTGATTACTAATCATGTCAGCTATAAACTTGAAGAATTGGAAATGGAGGAAACAACAAAAAAAACGTTGTTCTAAAATTGTTCTATCCGTCATTCGGTTGCCCCCTTACGAGCAACCCTCAGAAGTCTTCGAGAGTCTTGTACGAGCAAGGAATGAGGGGGTTCAGAAAAATTTCTGCAGTCGCGGGGAATTGAACCCACGACCGGCAAGCGAATCCGGATTAGAATACTGTCACTGTCCATACGGCTACCTGGCCCCGTACCTATACCACAACATACTATATTGATGCCATCTACTTCATCAATGAATATCAAGTTATCTCACGAGTTCCCAATATAGAATAGATTCTAAATTGAGAAATATTTACTTGATATTCCCTTAAAATGAAACGCTATGTTCGAAGGTTTCATGAAATTGTAGGGTATTTAAAGGGTTTTTTGAAAATATTACAGCATATTTGATCAAAAAATTGATACATTCATGTTATGTTTCAATAACATGAACATTTGAATTGAATTCACGCATTTGTGTCTTTGCCTATCCATTGCAACACTTCATAACGTATTCAAAAAATCGTACAGTCTACGATCGAACGATAACTGATCGGGCAAAAACGTAAATAACAAGGTCTCTTGTGTTTGAATGTCTTTGAGAGTTCCCCATATTCCTGTTGCACAAGCTATCGAATTCCCAAATTATCTTGTAGTTTCTTGGAAACCAACGTTCCGCTCCTCGTCCTGATAAAAGCAGCTCAGAACGGCAACGAGAAGGAAGTGGAAGAATACGCGGTGCTCTTCACCGAACATTCCAACAAGCTGGTCGAAGTGGCCAACTTGGTGTGCAGCATGTCCAACAACGAAGACGGCGTCAAGATGGTGCGTTACGCGGCTGCGCAAATCGACAATTTGTGCCCGGAAGTGATCAACGCGGCGCGCATCCTGGCGGCCAGACCGCGCAGCAAGGTATGTACAGGGTGGCTGGAATTCGAGCCTCATCATTGGGATCTCGTAAACCGTAAGAGATACAGGGTCGGTTAAATCATGGCAAAGTTGCGCAATTTGATGCTCAACAAAATGCCGTTCTGAAACTTGAAAAATTCCGAATACTTTCGGAGATATCCGAAAAAAATCGAAAGTCCATAAAATCGTTTTTATTTTTTTCTTGCGTTATTAGAAGAAATTAATCGATATGAATAACACTTCATCATGGCCACTTTTTCTTCCCTACAACATGGCGTTATCAAATTTGAAATCTGACGTTTCGTCTTCCAGAAACCATCATCAACTTACTTTTTTTAAATACGGACCTGGACTTTTTTTTTCATTTTTTGTTACCTTCAGATAGTCCAAAAACTATAAGCTATCACAAATTTCTATTTTCGAATGTTTCAATGACTAAAATTCACAGTTTCTCTATTTTTTCAAAATATTTAATCCGAAAATATTTTTGAAACATTATTATTCGAGTTATTATTCATCAGTAATATAACTAAGGGTGAAAAATATGTGAACTATGTAACTATAAATTGTAATAAGAACAAAATGAAATTCTAAAGTAAATGCTCGAATAGTCCCCCTTGCACCTCTTGGCATTTTCGTATGCGTCTTCGCAAATTGCCAGTAAGCCCGCGCTGGATCTTTTTCTTCTACCTCGTAGGGTTGTTATTTCAAACATTGAATTTTGTCGTAAAATATTTATGTTTCGTGGAATATCTTTAAATAAACGGTTTTTCAAATATCCCCATAAAAAGTAATCCAGCGGGGATAAATCGGTGCTTCTTGCAGGCCAGCGCACCACTCCTTGGTTTCCAATCCACTGATTGTGAAATGTTTCACTTAGATACTGAGTAACAACCCTTCCATTGTGGGGTGGTGCGCCATCCTGTTGCCACCATAGTTGCTGGAGTATATTTAACGGCTCGTCTTCAAGAGCATCTGAATTTTGGATGAAATGAAGGTACCGATCACTATTTAAATTCCCATCATAAATAATTGGCCCCAAGATTCTGTTTCGATATAGCCCCACATTGAATGATGCCCGTCCCTGCCTTCGCACTTGCTGACTGCATAATAATGCTCATTATTTTTGTTGAAAGGGCCGCTCGTAGAAAAATTGCATTCATCAGTCCAGATAATGTTATTTAAAAAATCTTCATTCTGTTGCAATTTTCTATCAAGCCAATTGCAGAATTCTAGCCTTCTTTCATTATCTCCTGGTCTTAGTTCTTGGCTGACATGTAATTTATAAGGATGATACCTATGATTTTTGAGAATCTTCTGAATTCGGCTTCTAGGCATATTCAATTCTAGAGCAAATTGTCGTGTGGAACCTCAGGGATTTTCCGTAACCTTCAAAATTTCTCGATCAAATTTATCGCAAATATAAATTATTTCTTTTCGAAACTTACCGCATTTATAACAGCTCCTTCATCTTCAGCTCCAAATCTTCAGCCATACGCATTTCGGGGCTTACTAAAACTACCATACAGATTCAGATTCTTGTCCAAATTATTGAAATACGTTTAATGCGGTTGTGGTCGTTCGAAGTATTGCTGTAAATATCTCTCAAATGAAATTTGCGAGTTTCTATTAGCACTATAATAAATTCGGACCATATCACGTTTTTCTGAATTGGAAAACACCATTTTTGATCGCGCAAATTATTCAAAACCTTGAACTGTCAAACTTCGACGAGTGGTTGTAACTTTTCATCTCTAAAAGCATAGCCGCCTTTTCCATTTTTAGTAATTGCATTGAATATTTGGAAAAAATAAAGAAACTGTGAATTTTAGTCATTGAAACATTTGAAAATCGAAATTTGTGATAGCTCATAGTTTTTGGGCTATCTGAAGGTAACAAAAAATGAAATAAAAAACCCAGGTCCGTATTTAAAAAAAGTAAGTTGATGATGGTTTCTGGAAGACGAAACGTCAGATTTCAAATTTGATAACGCCATGTTGTAGGGAAGAAAAAGTGGCCATGATGAAGTGTTATTCATATCGATTAATTTCTTCTAATAACGCAAGAAAAAAATAAAAACGAATTTATGGACTTTCGATTTTTTTCGGATATCTCCGAAAGTTTTTGGAATTTTCCAAGTTTCAGAACGGCATTTTGTTAGGCATGAAATTGCGCAACTTTGCCATAATTTAACCGACCCTGTATCTCTCACGGTTCACGAGATCCCAATGATGAGGCTCGAATTCCAGCCACCCTGTACAGTGCAATGAACTCAAAACTCAATATAAACACCTGGAAGGGAGACGGCCGTTCTCTCGAATAGCACAAAGTGTCAGGGGCAGCTGCAACAAAGATAGCATGTCTGATTTATAAATAATTTTAAATTGCTGCACTTTAAAAAAATTAAATGAATTGAATAATTTGAATAGCCATTTTACACATCAGAAACCTAATAGTAGTTAGTAATAATAATTCTATGACAATTAATTCCAGGTAATCTACCTAATTTTGCAAAACTTATTATCTGAGAGTATTCATTAGTACTAGTATATGTATGTATTTCAGTTCTAATCTTGACGAATTATACATAAGTATTCTTGTCAACTAATTATAATATATTTCTATTTCTAAGGTGGCCCAGGAGAACATGGACGCGTTTAGGCAGTCATGGGAGCACCAAGTCAGGATTCTAACGGAGGCCGTGGACGATATCACCACCATCGATGATTTCTTGGCAGTTTCAGAGAATCATATTTTGGAGGACGTCAATAGATGTGTTTTGGCATTGCAAGAAGGTAAATTTTTTTTCTAGGACAGTCACATTATTCTCCCTCTCCTGGTATATCAACAAGAAATTTGAAAGGTTCAAATTGGAGATGAAAACCTACTTTTTTATGGAAGCATGTCAGCTTACAGTCTTAAAATGTCAACTGAGCGCCCTCATGAATTATGGAACACACCCCATATCAATCAATCAATCAATCTCATTATTCTCAAGAAACAACATTTGTTTATAGCAGGGAACATGGTGAATATACAAATATATTTTACAAAATAAAATAAAGAAGACAGTAAAATAAGACTCACACTCAAAAATAATCTTTTTTTTTTAAGTTCAAATGAAAATGATCCTCAATTGACTCAGCTGTTAGGTACACAATTGAAAACTATAGTAGTTGTACAAGAAAACTATAAAAATGAGATAAGATGTCAATATTACAGGAGTAGATGTTTCTTGAATTCTCTTTTAAATTTTTCAATCCTATTAATCAGCTTCAAGTTATTTGGTAGTGAATTGTATTGTATCATTCCATTGTGATAGATGGATTTTTTACCAATATCTGATTTAATTTTCTTGACAGAAAAATGATCTGCTTGTCTGGTTGTATGGTTGTGGTGATTACTATTGACTTGGAAAACCAAATTTGAATGCTTTTGACAATGTTTAACTGAATGAATGAACGACATTAATTTGAATTTATATAGTGAATCTATATCTAATAATTCTCTTCTTCTGTAAAGGTTCCTAGTAGGTTCCGAATAATTTAGTCTGTATATACATTTGATAATTTTATTTTGAAGAGTTTTGAGATGCTTTATAATTGATAGTTTTGTTGAACCCCATACAGAAATCAAATATTCAAGTTTAGAATAGATCAAAGAGAAGTATATAGATTTGAGACATTTTATAGGAACTTGGTTCCGTACCCTAAAAAGTATACCTATTATTGGAGATATTTTTTTCCTAAGTATTTCAATATGTTTTGACCATGACAAATGTTATTCCCTTTTTGAAATCTCATAATTCCCAACAGTTTTATCTAACACATTTTACTTCTAAATTCAATAGTTTTTAAATAGAGTTCTAACAAACCCTCATGACATAGCAACTGAATTCAATTATTTTTTTGCAAATACTGGAAAATCACTAGCAATAAAAATAAAAAAGCCGTCATCACCTAGGCCTACAAGAACCAGATGCCCCAATCCATTTTTTCTCACACAACTAACCGAACAAGAAACTCAAACTATAATTATGGATTTGAAACCTCTTACGGCTCCTGGTATAGATGGAATACGGACTGAATTCTTGAAAAATGTCATAAACGAAATAGCACCCCCAATCACTCATTTAATAAACTGTATATTCAATAGTGGGATATGTCCAGTTGATTTCAAAAAAGTAGTAGTAACTCCTTTATCACCAATTTTGCCAAAGTATTCGAAAAAGTCCTTAAGAGTCGTTTGGTCAAATTCATCAAGAAATATGATATTATATCTCGTCAACAAATCGGATTCAAAGAAGGGGTATCTACAAATGACGCCATTGCTACCTCAGCTAGTGAATTATACAAATATGTTGATAGAAGCACGCCAGCCATATGTGTATTCTTGAATCCATCCAAGGCCTTCAATACCGTGAATATTTCTCAACTATTGGAGGCTTTGGATGATGCAGGAGTACACAGTCAACCATTGGCATTGATGTAAAGTTATCTAGAAAACAGAGTTCAAATGGTCAGAATAGAAAATAGCCTCAGCTCAGAGGAGAAAATTAGTTACGGAGTTCCACAGGGGACCGTTCTTGGACCTCTGTTGTTCTCCATTTATATAAACAGCCTACTCACCCACCCAACTAGTGGAAAAATATACAGTTTTGCAGATGACACCTCTATCACATACACTAGTCGAGTTCGGCAATTCCATCCGAGATGCGAGGTATTTATTCGTCATGTGACCACGGATTAGAAAGATTAATTGGAATAAACGAACGGTGCAGAGCGCTGTTATGACAAATATGTCTAAAGTATTTTAATTCTTGTTAAGACACATATTACTCAACGAATTTATGTGGTTAGATTTGTTGTTTAACATTAATTTTCTCAAGAAATTCACAAAAAGTGAATAATAAAATGATACAACGCACTTAAAATTTGAACAATTCAACACTTAACCTCACAAATTCAGATTAATCGCATTGCTCGGTCAAAATTCTCAGAGCATGAAGATCGTCGTCGGATTGCTCCGATTTTAATTGCAGAACGATGAGATTTACTTCCCCTACATCTAGATGTCATAAACGAACGACACAGATTGATCGGAGCAGTCTGATGTCAATACCGAACTCAACTACTGATTGATTGATTTTGTTCCTGTAGGCGATGCGGACATCTTGGACCGAACGGCGAGTGGCATCCGCGGACGTTCCACCCGCGTGTGCGACGTCGTCTCCGCCGAGATGGACAATTACGAGCCGTGCGTTTACACCAAGCGCGTCCTCGAAGCAGTCAAGGTGCTCAACGACCAGGTGAGCACGGATTTCCACTCCACCTTCAGAACTTTGATCTTTGAAGTTCAAACTTTGAGTTCAAACGTCAAGTTCAAACTTCAAGTTCAAACTTCAAGTTCAAACGTCAAGTTCAAACGTCAAGTTCAAACGTCAAGTTCAAACTTCAAGTTTAAACTTCAAGTTATTTTTTTGAGTTCTGGTTCCCACAAAAAGGGATATCCTGTAATGTTCAGAGAACATCGTGAGAACCAAGGGAAATAAGGTAGGAATTGGTGTTCTTCTTAAATTTCTGGAGGTTATATGCCTCGGGGAACACCTCCCTTGGTAATGTGTTCCAGAGCCTCGCTGTTCGTTGGATGAACGAGTGTTGGGAAAGAGATGTTCTGTAGGTCTCCAAAGTTACCACAAAGGGGTGCGAAGCCTCAACTCGACGGGTTAATCTCGCGGGGCCTGCCATGGGAGGTACAATTGTTGATATTTCAGAAGAGCATCGTCCATGAAAATATCTATGAAATAGAGCCAGATCGCCAACTTTTCTACGGTGTTCCAGAGAAGTGAGTGGGTTTGTGAGCGAGGCATCGCCCACGAGACGAATTGCCCTTTTTTGGACAGAATCCAACAGTTTCAGGGTATGTTTGGGTGCTGCACTCCAAATATGGGAACAGTATTCCAGGACACGTCGGATCTGTGCCTTATAGATCATAAGCAGCTGACTGGAAGTGAAATAGCTCCTGGCCCGAAACAAAAAAAAACAAGTTTTTGGGATGCACTTCAAGCAATCGATCGGCTTTTCTAGAGTAAAGACATGCTTGTGTTTTGTTTGCATTGAAATCTACCAAGTTATTGGATCCCCATAGGAGAATTGTTGCTAAGTCCATATTTATGTTGTCAACATTTCTCCCTCGTTCGTTTCTGATTTGCCTGGCTGGTATTGGAGCTCTTGAAGAGAAGGCGGTATGGAGGGTACTATCATCCGCGAAGCTGTGTACTGGACATGAAATTGCTTCCAACAAATCGTTGATATGGAGTAGAAATAGTGTTGGTGCTAGAATTGATCCTTGCGGAACACCAGCATTTATGGTAAGAGAGTCAGATGAAACTCCGTCCGTCGACCACTACATGGAGAGACCTGTTTGAGAGAAAACTAGATAGCAGAAACATAGCTGGGGAGGCAAGCCATAAGATGGAAGCTTGGCGAGGAGTCCGTGGTGCCAGACTCGATCGAATGCTTTGGAGATATCAAGAAAAAGTGATAATACCTGAATGTTCCAGGTATTTCATGAGCTGGATGTTGATAGCTTTCTCCATGATCTTTGAAATAATAGATAGCAGTGCGATCGGTCTGTAGTTGCTAGGTAGGGTCTTTTTGTCATTTTTAGGAACTGGTTGTACTCTTGCAATTTTCCAGTTGGACGGGAATATCCCCAATTTGTAAGAGTTGTTGAATAACTTGCAGAGAACAGGTGTTAGTTCGGGAGCACATTTCTTGAGAACAATCGGTGGGATTTTGTCGGAGCCATAAGCTTTGTTGGCGTTGAGACCCAATAAAATCTTCCTTATAGTACGTTGGCGAAAGGTGATCTCGGGCATATGGCGTTATGTTTGGAGGTTGTTTTCCCGATGAATCCAGAGTGGAATTTCCAGCAAATAAATGCGCAAAAATGTTGGCTTTCTTCTAGGCAGTTGTGGCTAGTGCTCCATCTTCCTTGGTTAGAGGAGGAAACGAGCTGGAAGTGAAGTTTCTTCCTACAGCTTTGGCGAAGGACCAAAATGAACGGGATCCGTCAGGACATTCAACAAGTTTTGATCTCATTTTGGCATTATGAGCATCCTTTGATGATCGAATTGTCTCATTGCATATGCCTCTATCCTCGACATATTCTGCTCTAGTCTCAGGGCCTGGATTTTTCTGCCATCGATGGAATGCTGCCTGTTTGGAAGCGACAGCTCTAGAGCAGTTTCTACCAGGCCTTATCGGAAGATGTCCTCCTTTGCAGTGTTCGGTATGTTTGAACTAGAAGTTTGAACTTGAAGGTTGAACTTGAAGTTTGAACTTGAAGTGACATGATTATACGTCATTTTGTGATGCCTACACGAAGCGCGTCCTCGACCTCGAGTCCGTCAATAGCGATATATCATTTTACGGTGATTCACATTACTGTATTAAAGTTCCAATTGTCGCCGACAGGTGATGCCGAAGTTCACGCAGCGCGTCCAGGTGGCGGTTGGTGCGCTGGGCAGATCGCCGCCAAAGGAGGTGGACGAGAACGACTTCATCGACGCCTCCCGATTGGTCTACGACGGCGTCAGGGAGATCAGGCGAGCGGTGCTAATGAATAGGGTGAGTACCAATCGATCATCTGAAGGAAATATTCCCATTATAATATGTACAAGACGAAAGAATTTAAAATAAGGACCGGAAATGTAATAAAAACTTCTTGTTTCTAGGCTGATGAAGATTTAGACCCAGAAGATGTGGAACTTGACGACAATACTCTGGAAACCAGAAGTAAATGTGAGTAGATTCAACTAAAAACATGTTATCTTTGGCCTTTAAAATGAAGGGTATTTATGGAAGCTATATGTTTTTGAATTTTAGTAATTGGGAGTTCATTTAACACTTTTTATTCAGTTCTAGGTTTTATTTGGTGTTTTTACTTATAATTATAATCTGTGTTCATTGATAGAAATACCCGTGACAATATTGAAGGTAATAACCTCTCAAAATACAAAAACATTTTTTTCCAATACCTCACTCCTTAACTATTATCAAAACAGTTTTTTGTCTAAACCGGATGATAATGAAAAATTGATAGATCTGTGAAAACACTCATAATATTGACTGCATATATTCATTTATATTTTAGCAAGTGCCCACACAGGCGAACATGGGGTTGATGAATATCCAGACATAAGTGGAATTACCACAGCAAGGGTAAGAATGCAACTTTTAGATTTTTATCATTTTACAAGAATCAAAATATGCCGATTCTGGATTGGCAAACAATTATTAGCTCCTGAATTTGAATAAATTGCAATATCAATTCATTTTATGTGTGTAGGAGGCTATGGGTAAGATGCCAGAAGAAGATAAGCAGAAGATTCTGCAACAAGTTGAATTCTTCAGAAATGAGAAACTCAAGTTTGACCTTGAAGTTGCCAAATGGGACGATACCGGAAACGATATTATCGTCCTTGCCAAACATATGTGTATGATCATGATGGAAATGACAGACTTCACCAGGTTAGAATCCATACTAATTTCATTGAAAAAAATTGATTGTCTTATTGGCAATTTATGATTTATCGACAAATAGCCTTTCAGCACTCACAAACTTGATGATGCAGAAAAATCTATGTAAACTCACTTTCAACAATTTGTTCTTCTCCTGGAAAAACAAGAACTACAACACAGATTGATAAAAAGCACTTATATAGCTCATTTATGAACTACAGTTGTATTTTTGAGGTTATAGGTTATGCTCTTTCAAGCATTGTCCACTCTTGCCAAATTTTGAGAAATGTTTTGGTTATCATGATTTTTCAACAATAGAATCAGATTGAAGCAGTTTCGGTCCACTATCATTTTCACTATTAGGTACATTTGCCATTGTCACATGCATTTTTATTTGAAGCTCTCATCGATTAGTGACGAAATATCGCTATATTATGGAGAAAACTGCGTTTGAACTTTGAGCTATCCCAATTTCTCGTGTTGTAATAAGATTTGAATTTGAAATTTATGGACTTGCCTGTGATAATTAGTCAGTTATCATATGCATAACGCCAAGCTTCCATCTTATGGCTTGCCTCCCCAGCTATGTTTCTGCTATCTAGTTTTCTCTCAAACAGGTCTCTCCATGTAGTGGTCGACGGAGTTTCATCTGACTCTCTTATCATAGATGCTGGTGTTCGGCAATGATCAATTCTAGCACCAACACTATTTCTACTCCATATCAACGATTTGTTGGAAGCAACTTCATGTCCAGTACACAGCTTCGCGGATGATAGTACCCTCCATACCGCCTTCTCTTCCAGGGCTCCAATACCAACCAGGCAAATCAAAAACGAACGAGGAAAAAATGTTACAACATAAATATGGACTTGTCAACAATTCTCGAATGGAGATCCAATAACTTGGTAGATTTCAATGCAAACAAAACACAAGCATGCCTTTTCTCTAGAAAAGCCGATCTAACTGTGCCCAACATAACATACAACCTTTCTTGGGAAAATCGCGTGAGATCAATTGCTAAAAGTGCATCCCAAAAACTAGGTTTTCTGTTTCGGGCCAGGAGCTATTTCACTTCCAGTCAGCTGCTTATAATCTAAAAGGCACAGATCCGACCTGTCCTGGAATACTGTTTTCATATTTGGAGTGCACCACCCAAACATACCCTAAAACTGTTGGATTCTGTCCAAAAAAGGGCAATTCATCTCGTCGGTGATGCCTCGCTCACAAACTCACTCACTTCTCTGGAACACCGTAGAAAAGTTGGCGATCTGGCTCTATTTTATAGATATTGTCATGGACGATGCTCTTCTGAAATATCAACAATTGTTCCTCCCTTGGCAGTCTCCGCGAGAATAACCCGTTGAGTTGAAGTTTCGCACCCCTTCGTGGTCACTTGAGAGACCTGCAGAACATCTCTTTCCAAAGACTCGTTCATCCAACGAACAGCGAGGCTCACATTGGAGGGTTGGTGTTCCCCGAGGCATATTACCTCCAGAAATTTAAGAAGAACACCAATTCCTACCTTATGTCCCTTGGTTCTCACGATGTTCTCTGAACTTTACAGGATATCCCTTTTTGTGGGAACCAGAACATGAAAAAAAATAATCATTGGGGATTGTTAAGTTATTTTTATTGTTACAAAAAAGATTATGTTTGTAAGATGTGCCATTATTGTTGAAACCAAATTATACAGTTTGGATGAAAATTCATGAAACGTGTAATGACTTTCCCAAGTTATCATTAAATAAAACAGAAATGTACCAGATATACGATAGCCTAATAGGAAAATACCAGAAATTAACGTAACCAATAAAACATATAAACCAAGCGTATTTAGCATACTGGCACATTTGACTAAAATAACAGGAAAGACAAAGTTATTGTGGCATAACTCAAAATGTGCCACAAATGCTGAAACGAAATCGTTGCTACTTCATGAATGTGTCACTATTGTTTTGATGCAACTAAAGGGGCTCGGCACGTGGTAACTGGTAGTAGCACAAGTGCCATCTCGAAAAGACTATCTGAACTAATTTTATGCCAGTATTCATCGATGAAACTTCATAAAATTTCAAATTGTTCCCTGTGTTTCAACGTGTTTAATATTTTTCTGAGATGTGCCACAATTGTCGCCGGTGAGCGATATTTTTGGACACTATTTCTTCATACTTCAAAAGGACCATCTTAAAATATAATGTTTCCATCGCATCCGAGGGGTAAATCTCCAGGAAAAATGTGTACACCAGACTTCCAATGAACAAATACTCCTAAAGACTTCCAAAGACATCCTAAGACTTCCAAATACATCCAAAGACATCCAAAGACATCCAAAGATTTCCAAAGACTTTCAAAGTCTTCCAAAGACTTCCAAAGGCTTCCAAAGACTACCAAAGACATCCAAAGACTTCCAAAGACTCCCAAAGACTTTCAAAGTCTTCCAAAGACTTCCAAAGGCTTCCAAAGACTACCAAAGACTTCCAAAGAATTCCAAAGACTTCCAACGGAGTGTACACCAGACTTCCAAGGAGATTTACCCCTCGATCGCATCCCATCAGCAATAACCAAACAGCGCATTTTGTCTTCATATTTAATGCGTTCGAGACATACAACTTCCACAATTCAATGTTCAGGGGTCGCGGGCCATTGAAAACCACCATGGACGTCATCAACGCTGCCAAAAAGATCTCCGAAGCCGGCACCAAACTGGACAAGCTGACCAGGCAGATCGCTGAACAGTGCCCGGAGAGCTCCACTAAGAAGGACCTGTTGGCCTATCTGCAGCGCATCGCCCTCTACTGCCACCAGATGAACATAACCTCCAAAGTGAAGGCCGACGTGCAGAACATCAGCGGGGAACTGATCGTGTCTGGGGTAAGAGAAAAAACAGAATACCTAGGAGTCTCAGTTGAATAATTGAGGTTAGAATTGAAACAAGGAAAATGTTGAGTCTGTCCAACTAAGAAGACAGCTTTGTGAACCATAGGGATGCATTGACCTTCCCTTTGATTGGCCAATATTAGCCATAAATTATTGATTTTTTGCAGCTTGACAGTGCTACATCTCTAATTCAGGCAGCTAAAAACTTGATGAATGCCGTTGTATTAACTGTGAAGGCCTCCTACGTCGCTTCAACCAAGTATCCAAGACAAGCTACTGTCGCTGTGAGTATTCAATCCTTTCTCTTTATCTTTTTTTATCATTAACCCTTAACTACTAATCATACGTCTCAGAGACGGCATATCAGCATCCGATTTGTTGGATTACCCCTGCTTTTCAATATCGGCCATTGTCCTACTACAGGTGCTTTCGGTTATAACATATCTGTTAGCTCGATTCCATCTGTTAGCTCGGACAGCGTTAGATAAATCAGATCAGAGATGTATAGAAATTTAACTGGTGCGCTTGCTCCCTATTGAAGGTCGTTTGCAAGTTTCTCGATGGCGCCTACTCTTATAAACCTTTGATAAACATACTTGACGTGGGTAAATCTCGCTAAGCTCATCCTGGTTACAATCCATATTTACAGGAAACATATTACCGACCGATAAATATTTGGTTACGTAATGATTTGGATCAGAGCAGTGAACTGATTCCTGATCAAAGGATCGAAACGTCAATATGTCAAAAATATTCTTGAGCTGAAAAAATGGTTATTTCTGAGATTGGGGTCAAGTGTTCGTTAGGGACGTTTTCCGTAGTTTCTAAATTTTGTGTATAATACCTAATCCACCATAGAAAAAAGGAAATCTATGTTCTACAACAGTATTATTTCAATGATTTGAAATATAAGCGTGCGAACTGGTGTGAATAAATTCTAAGGTGAGTACTAGTTACCATATATGCCTATTATGATTTTCGATATTGGTCTATTTCAATAGTTGATACATTCTTTGTTCTGGTTCTTCAAAGAGGAAATTCATCAGATTTCATGCTTTAAATAGGTTCATGTCATGAAAGAAGTGAAGCTTATTAAAATCGGCTACAAAAAAGATTTCATGCTTTTATTTCAAATTGAAATTTGAATGAAAATGCTGAGCACAGTATTCATTCGACCACAGAACAATGATGGAAATAGATTCATCCCTCACAGGCTATATTCCGAATTCAACTGGTCAGTACTGTCAGTTGATCCACTGACTGCTGAAAATCTGTGTTCCGAAATATAAAATCAAAAATTCACTACTGTAATTCGGGACACGTTTTCATGGTTTTCATCAGTTGTAGTTTCTCGTTTATCTGAACTAGATGTTTAGCCTCCTACTTGTTATAAATTTTGGAAATTTAATATTTAACATGGAAGAGAAATCGATTCTTGTATCCTCTATAGTTTCTACGATTGTTGATGATGGCGATTCAAGCTCGAGTGATGAAGAATACTTGGACATTTTGTTGCCATAAATTTCTCATGATGCACCAGATCGAGAATTAAGATTCATGAAAATCGCAATATGCCTTAATAATGATGAATTTTAGGAGACATTCAAGGTTTATTTAGTTTATTTAGCCAATGCTGCTCCTTTCCTTATTTGCTCTACTACTTCATACTCCCAGGTATTTTCTGATATTGAGAATCATTTCATTAACAACGGAAATGAATGTTACATTCCTTCCCCCTCTAAAATATGACAATTCACTGAAGCCACACTACCTTTTGATACTCAGCAATTCCAGCAGAATGTTGAGTCGAAATATTTGGAATGAATAGTATGTCTGCTGACAAGCATCTGTCACTTCCAGTGAATTTTCTGATTTCGGAATGGAAAATCAGCAGATTCAGTACTGTCAGTTGAAATGGGGATATAGCCACAGAACCAAGGTTTTGAACGATTTTCCGATTATGGCGCCTCTATCGCAAATACCTGAACCCCACGTCCAAAACTCTCTTGCAATTGTTCCATATCGAGAGTTAGTCTGACGAAACAATTGAAGAGTGAGCCCACCATCAGATCTACTTCCTCTGTCTAATCTGCTCCGTGTTCGTTAATTGATCGGTTATTCGGTTGTCAGTTGTCAAAAATCAATGTCAACAACATGTTATTGAAATTATATATCTCTTTTGTGTCGAAAAATTAAAGACTCGATCAACTGGAAACGAAACACGAAACTGAATTTTGTAGAATCCTCCTTGCCCAGAATGGCCAGAATGACCGACGAATTTGCTGTAGGACATTAATTATATATTTGTAATATATGCGATCATAACTGCCCTGGATCCACAGTTAATGACCGATCATATGAGACAGAATCATTCCTTCCCTAGTAATTTTCAAAATATAAACAACAACCATTCAAAAGAACTTTGTTGCCCTGACGTGTTTTCAAAAGTAATAAGGTTAAGTGAATTGTTTCTGTTTTCTGTTACTTCTGACAGCTGGCGCTCGCAATCTACTACCTCGTTGAGCGTCCGTTAAATATCTTTAGCTCTATCTGCTAGGTGATCACGTGACACCAAATCTGCATCTGCTCGCTCGGCTCCGATTTTGTTAAACCGAACGCACCTGTTACGTAATTTATATCCACCCAGCACTCATTCAGTACCCTGAAGTTGATCTATGTATGCGGTTCAGTTTTAAAAATATCTTGAGTGAAATATAGATTGCCGTCTCGTAGACGTATAGTTAGTTATTTAACAATAAGAGTTCAATTTCGCCTATAATTTTTTTTTCAATTTGCATGTTTATGACTTAGTTTTCTGCCACATTTTATTACGACTCTTAACTGTATTCAGAATGACAATAATATCATTGATAATTTTACTATTTCAATTTAATTTGAATATTTCTATAGATCAATGTCAAAATTTTGAACATTAGGTATTCCTCTATGAAATTTTGATCGCCACTGAAATTTGTATTTCTATTTCAATTTGGAACATCATTTTCTCTTCGCCAAATATCTACAGAACGTGTTTGAATAGCTCACAAAAATAAAATAAAAAATTTGGATTCATATGGACATTTAAATAGTCCCGTCTGTGCGACGTATGGTTATATATTTGGAACGTTAGTAGTTCAGGATTAAACAGTTATTTTGTATCTAGTGCACGAATTACTACTTTGGTGATCGAGACCTATTTTTTTTAACGTGGCGCAGCCGAGTTGAAAAAATATTCGAGATGACCAAAGTATTTCGCGCACGAGTTTCAAACAATTTTTTTTTACAAACGTCGAAAAATACGGTTTTGAAGTTGTAATATGCTGATCTTAATATAAAACATAGTGATGAACCCGGAACACACGGTTCGCTTCAAAACGACATATCTCCTGAAGCAATAGACTAAATCCAAATTTGAAAAATGCACCGTATGCCTCTTTGATGACGCAACAAATTATTATCCCACCATTTTTTCGTGCATTCATCGGAAAATGGAAAAACAAATGAAAATCAAAACATCAAAATTTGAAATACTTTCAATTCAATATATATCGAAAACAAATGGGAAAAATCGAAAATTATCAGAAGTGCAAAGTTATCCACTGGAACATTTCCTACAAATTATTACCCATAATTTGTTCTGTAAACCCAATGGTACAGGAAATTAAAAAAAAATATGAAAAAAAAAATTTGAACGACCCATAGGGTACCATGAAGATATATTGAAAAACAAAGATTATCGATAGATGAAGCTCATCGACTTCCACTGAACCATGAAATATTTTTTCCTTTTGTTGATTGGAAGATGGAACAAAAGTGTTGAAAATTTTATTCTCAGATAATTCCAAATATCTCGAAAACAAATAAAAATATCTGATAATGTTATAGAACCAAAATTATTCCTTTTGATAGAATCTACAAAAAATCCGTATTACATTTTTCTCTGAATTCAATAGTCCGGGAAATACGATGAAAAAATTAAAGAATTTACAAGTTCCTAGATAATCACTTGCCAATAGAAAACAAAACAAAAAACAAAAGAAAGTAAAAAAAGCACACTCGACTGTCTTGATTTTTTCTCATAAACTACGTACCTAGCTCACTCGACTGTTTTTCGCCAAAATATATTGGCATTGTTTTAACTTTCTTTTGTTTTTGTTTTTTTAGTCCCTATTGGCAGTGTCGAGTGGGCTAGGTACGTAGTTTGTGTGGAAAAACCAAGACAGTCGAGTGGGCTAAGTACGTAGTTTATTGGGAAAAATCTCCAGTTCTCTGAACTTTCATAGCGTCGTATACACATCTTTGGTGCCCAATGATAGTTTCAATATAAAAATATGCTCATGATATGGTGCCATGGCCTCTACTTCCATCTTACATGAGCAATGATAAAATATCATCTGCTTTTATAGCGTCGTATAAATTATCAGACCTCTATACTAACCTAATACCTAATGAAAACTACATCTATACTAATCTGATACCTTTCAAAAACTACGTACCTCACTTGTTATACGACGCTATACCTATAGTGGAGTATACTACGGCCTTGCCAAAAATGCTATCTCGGAAACTAAGCGAGATAGAGGTATAGTTACTTTGGAGAAAATGATTCCCATCGAATTTTGAGCAACTTTGGTTTTTGTGTGTGGTCTGTATGTCTGTCTGTCTGTACTCTGTGATAATCATAAATCGATATATCTCCGGAACCCTTTGACATATCGACTTGGAATTTTGTCATCTTATTGTACTCAAAACAATATTATGTCATTAAAATATGAAGGAAATCGGAAAACTCTAAGGTGGTTTTTCCGGGGTTTTTCGATTTTTCACCGGAAGTTTCTTGTAAAAACTCTACAAATCGCAAAAGTGGTCCGATCGATTTCATTTTTTGTGAAAAAAAAACTCTATCAGAGAGAGACGAAGCCTATTGTAATTGAGCAGGGTCGGAAAATTCCAAGTGGGTTTTTCAAGGAGATTTTCCGAAACACACGGTTCGCTTTAAAACGATATATCTCCTGAACAAATAGACTAAATCCAAATTTGAAAAATGCACCGTATGCCTCTTTGATGACGCAACAAATAATTATTTAACCATTTTTTCGTGCATCCATCGGAAAATGGAAAAACAAATGAAAATCCAAACATCAAAATTTGAAATCCTTTCAATTCAATATATATCGAAAACAAATGGAGAAATCGAAAATTATCAGGAGTGCAAAGTTATCCACTGGGACATTTCCTACAAATTATTCTCCATAATTTTTTCTGTAAACCCAATAGTACAGGAAATAAAGTGAAAAATATAAAAAAAAAATTAACGACCCATCTATGAAGATATATTGAGAAACAATAGATTATCGATAGATGAAGCTCATCGACTTCCACTGAACCATGAAATATTTTTTCATTTTGTTGATTGGAAGATGGAACAAAAGTGTTGAAAATTTTATTCTCAGATAATTCCAAATATCTCGAAAACAACTGAAAATATCTGAAAATGTTATGAAACCAAAATTATTCCTTTTGATGAAATCTACAAAAAATCCCTATAACATTTTTCTCTGAATTCAATAGTTCGGGAGATACGATGAAAATACTAAAAAATTTACAAGTTCCTAGATTATCACTTGCCAATAGAAAACGAAACAAAAAACAAAAGAAAGTAAAAAAAGCACACTCGACTGTCTTGATTTTTTTTTCCCATAAACTACGTACCTAGCTCACTCTACTGTCTTTATTTTTGCCAATAAACTAGGTACGGGCTAAGTACGTAGTTTGTACGAAAAATCTCCAGTTCTCTGAACTTTCATAGCGTCGTATACACATCATTGGTGCCCAATGATAGTTTCAATATAAAAATATGCTCATGATATGGTGCCATGGCCTCAACTTCCATCTTACATGAGCAATGATAAAATATCATCTGCTTTTATAACGTCGTATAAATTATCTGACCTTTATACTAATCTGATACCTTTCAAAAACTACGTACCTCACTTGTTTTCATACCGCGATTCTTTCCAGTCCCCTATCGTCGTGTGGAAGATGAAGGCCCCCGAGAAGAAGCCGCTGGTGAGGCCCGAGAAGCCCGAAGAGGTGCGTGCCAAAGTCCGTAAGGGATCGCAGAAGAAGGTTCAGAACCCCATTCACGCGCTCTCCGAATTCCAAAGTCCCACCGAGTCCGTTTAGGGCATCGGTAGGTGTCATTCATTTAGGTGTAATCCTCGATTATTTACACAAAACAAGATGATTCACCCCCATGTAGAATATTGAAGCCGAATTTGATCCTAGTTGTTGGTATACAGTGTATCCCACTTACCATGCTCACCATGGGTATCTTTTTAACGGTGAGAGATACGAGGTCGGTCGAATGACACCAAATGTGGAGTTTGTCTAGGCCAACTATAATGTGGAAAAATATTTTGATAAAATCCATTCGTTTTTGTTTCATACGCAAAAAACAGATTTTGATCATTTTCATGTCTCCTCCGTAACTTCTTTATTTGTGAAAATTTTCAAATAGGAATTTCACATTCTCATGGCAGTTTTTTAAAGTGATTCCGAAAAAAATATTAAATTTATACCAACTCTTCTAGAATTTGAGATATCAGCACCAACTTTAGTTTTTCAAATGTAGGTCATAGCTCACTATGACTTAGTTATAAATAACTTTTTTTTCTCTTTCAGATGATATGTCGCAGTAATAGTTTTGTGTTGATAACAACGGAGTTATCGTCATTTATGCAAAACCAAAAAGTTATTTGGAAGCCGCCATCTTCAATTTATAAATTTCAACAAAAAAATCATGATCTCCGACCTCAAAAACCCCCACTTACCAATTTTGAATAGAATCGGACCAAATCTTGTCCGCCATCTTGGAGCAGCCATTTTTTTAATTTCAACAAAAATTCCATAATGTTTTGTCACCTCTATCAACTTGAAATTTGGCAGATGTTCGTAAATCCGGTGACAATACATTATGGAATTTTTGTTGAAATTAAAAAAAATGGCTGCTCCAAGATGGCAGACAAGATTTGTTCCGATTCCATTCAAAATTGTTAAGTGGGGGTTTTTGAGGTCGGAGATCATGATTTTTTTGTTGAAATTTATAAATTGAAGATGGCGGCTTCCAAATAATTTTTTGGTTTTGCATAAATGACGATAACTCCGTTGTTATCAACACAAAACTATTACTGCGACATATCATCTGAAAGAGAAAAAAAAGTTATTTATAACTAAGTCATAGTGAGCTATGACCTACATTTGAAAAACTAAAGTTGGTGCTGATATCTCAGAAGAAGAGTTGGTATAAATTTCATATTCTTTTCGAAATCACTTTGAAAAACTGCCATGAGAATGTGAAATTCCTATTCGAATATTTTCACAAATGAAGAAGTTACGGAGGAGACATGAAAATGATCAAAATCAGTTTTTTGCGTATTAAACAAAAACGAATGAATTTTATCAAAATATTTTTTCACATTATGGATGGCCTTGACAAACTCCACATTTGGTGTCATTCAACCGACCTCGTATCTCTCACCGTTAAAAAGATACCCATGGTGAGCATGGTAAGTGGGACACACTGTATACTCTCGGAATCTACTCGAGTCCATCTATCTGCAAGTTCCTGAACTATCTAGAGATGAAGAGTAGTTCACCTTTTCGCTCATAGATACCATCCCCTACTAGAAAACATTTCTGGCTTTATTACTCTCATACAGGTGGTTCATGTTCTTAGTGTAAATAATTAAGGGTGTAATCAATAAGTACTATGAATAAGTATTGTATTTCGTATAGCGTACAGGGTGTTTTGGTGTTTCGCCTCGGTCGATGCTTGGGTGTCTGGAGTGGACAACTTGTCAGTCGTGATGATCGGCGATTTCTTTGATTGATTTTTTTTTTCAAGACCTATAGACATTTGTGGACAATCAAATTCATTCCACAGGACCCAAAGATCTCATTCCCTAAGAACATCAAAATTATGACTGATTGTTTTGCATTCATTTAGCCGTTACTTGATGGGAATCCATAGTAAACGTAAAAAAAAACTTCACTAACGATATAATTTCCACAAAATTCTAAAAAGCACCATATGTTTTGCGTGTTTTTGAAAATTTTGTGGATGATTTATGATTTGTCAAGTTTTTCACATTCAATGTAGTCTAAGTTTATCATTAATTAGTTCTTGATCCCTTCACTCGATTTCTATATTTTTTCGATGAATAATTTAAGCTCGATCCTGGCCGAATACATCTAACTTATGACCGTTTCCGAACCATTCTTCTTTATATCATATACAGGGACGGAAAGATGGAAAGGAATTTTTTGTGTTTTTTGAGATAGCCTGTATAACGAATCACTGGTATTATTTTACGTAAGTACCCTGAGGACGACGGACAAGGGAGACATATTTTTTTGCTTAATTTTCATACATATTTATGGAGAAATAACACAATTTATGAAAAAATTATATTAGAATGTTTCAAGAGAACATTATTGATTTTTGACTCCTGATTTTCATTTATTATTCTTGGCATTCGCTTTTTTATTTTTTGTAATAGCTGAATACCACCATCTAAATTTCCATGCTTACCTTCATTCTCTTCAACAACCATATTTTTGATATAATTCCATAGTTTAGTTAAGATTCTTTTTACTGTCCAAGATAAGGTTGCACAGCATGGGGATCTCGGAAACGGTAGGAGATACGAAGTCGGTTGAATGGGGAAAAAGTTGCGCATTCGGAGGCTCATACCAACAGCCTTCGAAAATTTTCAAAATTTATTTTAGTTTTTCAGTTATATCGAAAAAAGTGAATTTTTGGAATCTCTATTCTATTTTTTTTCTCTCCGTTATTATCAGAGATACAGGAAAACTGAAAATACTTTTTCATAGCAACTTTTGATGACGTTTAACGTGGTGATACCGATTTTTTTATGCGACGTTTCGTATTCGTAGAACCATCATTAACTTTTATTTTTTAAATACGGCCCTGATAATTCTTTCACAGATTCTGAAAGCTTTTTTTATTCTGAATTCAACCATGTATTATACAAGGTGGTTTGAATGTGTTTCGAACTATTTTTAGCCATCATCAATGTTTTTTTCGAAATTCCAAAGGAAAAATGCCATCAGTTTCACTTATTTCTGATTATACAGCGTCAAACATTGATGGACTAGTTATTCAATACTGAAAAGTGAAAAAAAAATCCACTAAATTATTCAATGCAGCGCTTCGAATTGTTTATGAATTGTATTCATATTTTAATCCGAAGGAGCTTGTCATAATTAAATTTTTCGAACTAATTATTCCTATAAGTCTATCAATCGGAACTAGTTGATGAGGTATTAGTTTGTTGGCTAATTTTCCTTCAAAATAAGTGGAACTGATGGCATTTTTCCTTTGGAATTTCGAAAAAAACATTGATGATGGCTAAAAATAGTTCGAAACACATTCAAACCACCTTGTATAATACATGGTTGAATTCAGAATAAAAAAAGCTTTCAGAATCTGTGAAAGAATTATCAGGGCCGTATTTAAAAAACAAAAATTGATGATGGTTCTACGAATACGAAACGTCGCATAGAAAAATCGGTATCACCACGTTAAACGTCATCAAAAGTTGCTATGAAAAAGTATTTTCAGTTTTCCTGTATCTCTAATAATAACGGAGAAAAAAAAAATAGAGATTCCAAAAATTCACTTTTTTCGATATAACTGAAAAACTAAAGAAAATTTTGAAAATTTTCGAAGGCTGTTGGTATGAGCCTCCGAATGCGCAACTTTCTCCCCATTTAACCGACTTCGTATCTCCTACCGTTTCCGAGATCCCCATGCTGTGCAACCTTATCTTGGACAGACTGTATTGTTCTCTACAATTAGTCTACAATATTCTCAAATTATATTGCAGAATCTAATTGGTTTACTGAGTATATTATACAATTTGATTGGGCGATCTATTCTAGCCAGTTAAGTTCTCAAGATGACTTTTCCAAATTGATTTGAATCGATACGGACGTATAATGATTCTTGATGATAAAGCAATAGAGTGAGAATTTCATACTAGGGCTTCTATAAAAATCGATTGAAATACATTATCTATTCGAAAATACCTATAGAACATGACTAAAATATTATTTTCGACACCCATGCATGGACTCGGTATTTTGTAACACCATGTATATGTCTGTCTTAATTTTGGGTATTTTGATGCGAAGACTTAAATTTTTTCATTGGTATTCCTATAATGCATTTACATTTATATATGAATAAGTTTGTATTGGTTTATCTATTTTAATATATTTTATTTATTCCTTAAATAAATTATGTATTTATTTCTTGAATCCTCTTCACTGAGTTCCGCCTTTCTAGACTAAATACAGGCTTGTGTTTTGGTGGCGTTGAATTCAAAAACTAGGTTGTTGGTTCCCCATGCTGAAATTTTAGCAAAAGGTCTTCATTGACAGCGTTGACCTGAATCCGTCGTGAGTTGTTAGTTTCCATAATTTATCTGAGAATATTCCTTTTCAACACTTCCATACCCAATCAGGGGGTTCAAACGTTACCACCGATACAACAAGGCCTGCATGCTCCGTGGGTGACGTCACTTAGTGAGGCCTAACCAGCGGCTCGAAACGACAAGCGCTTATAGCGCTATAAGGCGACCGCGTATTTCGAATTTAGTTTTAGATCATCATTGAGCCGGTTTTGCTGTTTTTTGAAGGGCTTCCGGTTAAAAAAGGATGCCAGTCGTCAACTGAGCCCTTCTTCGCACCCCATTCGATTTTATTATGGAAAAACGAAGTTTTAAAGCAAAAACCAGGATAAAACACAAATATCCACCTACAGCAACCCATTCGAATTAAATATATTGGCAAAAATTGTGGTGAAGGTAAACTTCACACCTGCTTATACAGGGCCCGCAGAACATAAACTTATCCACTAACCACTATTTATTGAGATATTTCAAGAAAAAGTTCGAAATTTCGCCTTCTTTCTCCCCTTGTGTTGGGGGCATTTGAAGCTACTTGCTCTTATTTTGTCTTTGGACACTTTATATACTCATGATGTACTTCGATGGCACATTTTTATATAGAAAATTTGAGAATGAGAATTAAAAATGCCCGTTTATTATGAACATTCAAGAAAATTTCCTCGAATTCAGAGATGATTTTGTTGACTATAATATACGAATACAAAACTAACTGCACAATCAAAGCTTTTCTATTTTTCCTCTACTTATACTTTTTATGAGAGAGTAATTGTCTTCTATTATTAATAATTCATCATTATAAATTGAGCTCTGTTTACTACTGAACTTAGATACTTAGATGGAGTAAAATCCTCGCGGTGAATTGCATATACTTACCCACATTTTCGATAGCTCCTCGTCCAACGGGAAACTAAAAGCATGAACTTTTGAACCACCCACATGATTCCCCCGACATCAAAAGGTAACACAACACTTGAAAGGCATTGTTATTTCGCCGATCACAACACAAAATATTTCACAAAACAGTAATTTTTCCGCCAATAATTTTGATGAATAAACAAAAGAATTCGGGACCGTTACAAAAACATACGTGAATCACCGATGAATTAACACGAACTGACGCGTTAGTGGACAAGCGATGAAATAAAACACTTGCCTCTCTTGGCGACGTCACGAGCTGTTTACGTCAGAGTCTACGATGGAAACTTGTGATTTTTATAGACCTCTAATCGCAGATTCGTGATAGAGTCTCATTTCAGAATTTCTTTCCACGCCCTGTATGATGAATGACAATTTATCATACACCCAAAAGCAAATGAATTACATTTCTACGATTCACCCCTGTATTCAAGCGATGATATTGTATAAGCAAATAATTTAGTCTTCTGTCACTTATTTCATGAATTTTTCACCTCTCTTGATTATTTTTGCACGAACCTAGTGGTCGTGTTTCATGGCCTACGCAAAAATGTTTAATTTCTTCATGAATTTTATTTTTTTTATGACGTGAAGTAATTTTCGAATCGATATTATTCGAGAACGATCGTTACCACCGATACAACAAGGCCAGCAGACTCTGACGTAAACAGCTCGTGACGTCACCAAGAGAGGCCAGTGTTTTATTTTATCGCTTGTCGACTAACGCGTCAGTTCGTGTTAATTCATCGGTGATTCACGTATGTTTTTGAAACGGTCCCGAATTCTTTTGTTGTTTATTCATCAAAATAATTGGCGGAAAAATTACTGTTTTGTGAAATATTTTGTGTTGTGATCGGCGAAATAACAATGCCTTTCAAGTGTTGTGTTCCCTTTTGTCGGGGAATTATGTGGGTGGTTCAAAAGCTTTTAGTTTCCCGTTGGACAAGGAGCTATCGAAAATGTGGGTATATGCAATTCACCGCGAGGATTTTACTCCATCTAAGTTCAGTAGTAAACAGAGCTTAATTTATAATGATGAATTAATAATAGAAGACAATTACTCTCTCATAAAAAGTATAAGTAGAGGAAAAATAGAAAAGCTTTGATTGTGCAGTTAGTTTTGTATTCGTATATTATAGTCAACAAAATCATCTCTGAATTCGAGGAAATTTTCATGCGTTCATGTTCATAATAAACGGGCATTTTTAATTCTCATTCTCAAATTTCTTTCTGAAAACGGTCATTTGCCTCGTGGCAATGAATGCAGAATTCATTCCAATGATCAAATTGCAACTATCATATTAACATGAACTACAAACACTCTACTTAAAAAGGTAAAACTGCATTTATCATGATATTTATCATGAAGATATTTGACTAAAAAGTTCCAAATTTCACCTTCTTTATTTTCACCTGTCTTCTGGATGGCATTTAGAACAAATTTCCCTTCTTTTTTCATCATGGACGATTTATATATAATTCAACTATAAATATGATTTTCTTGAGATTAATCCATATTTAGTGAAAAGAAGGAAGAATATTATTCAAAATAATGGCGTGTGTAATGTCATTCTATTGACATTTGACATCTCGTATTTTGATTGACTATTGATTAAATGTTCGTCATCTGGAATGCTTGTTCACTAAATATGAAAAACTCGCCATGGAAATCATATTTCCTGTTGAATTTTCTATATAAAAATGTGCCATCGAAGTACATCATGAGTATATAAAGTGTCCAATGACAAAATAAAGAGCAAGTAGCTTCAAATGCCCCCAACACAAGGGAAGAAAGAAGGCGAAATTTCGAACTTTTTCTTGGAATATCTCAATAAATAGTGGTTTGTTCACATTTTCATTATAAAATTCGGTTTATCAGACAAAAATACGTGAGTACCGAAAAAAATTTTCAAAAAAAAACATAGGTTTACCCTTAAAAATTACGGTTTCAAGTGTAACGATCCACTTGGGTGAAAAATCCAACAACAGAAAATTGAAAACACTCACTGGTTATTTTTTCAGGTAATAGGAATTCTCCAAGATAAATATAGGTAATTGTAACAAACGGCATGTCAATCAAAATAAAATACATTTTCCACAATTTTCTTTCGATCAATCTCACGATAAGTTTATGTTCTGCGGGCCCTGTATAAGAAGGTGTACATTTTATTTATTCCTCAAATATATTATGTACCTATTTATTTCTTAAATCTTTTTCCGTTCAAGAAATGACTACTGATGTCACAGATTAGTTGAAACAAATATCTAATTGTTTGAGAACCTGATTTGAATAATATTTCGTCTTCTATTGCAGTTTGTCACCATTCACAATATTAGTGATATTAATAATGACTCTTCAATCCATTATCCTTGGTTCTTAAAACTATTAAGAGAGTGGACATTTACTAAATGCATCTACAAAATCAAACTATAATTGAAGATAAGCATTGTTTAAACCAATTGCTTATACTTTTGAAAAACTATCAATTATTCTTGATTAAAATCTCGTTATATAAAGTATAAACTAGTCACAAGAAGTGGAGGATAATTTTTTCAAATACACAAAGACTAGCGTTGATTGAGGCTTTGCAAGAATCTGCTTGCTTTCTCAAGAGAGAGATGAAGCTCAAACATTATTTTTCTTATTCTCTCAAAATCCTCTGAAATTGGGGATTGATATTATCTCTCAAATCGAATAGAATAATATGATGTACCTATACTATGATATGAAAATATAACTTACCGATATGTTCAGAATTGAAATGAAAATTGAAATGTATAGGAGAAGTATACGTATACTCATCAGAGTTCATACAAGTACTTGTATGAACTCTGATCTTGATGAGCTTGGAACTTCCAAAAAGAAATCATTCGTATCCAGGGGCGTCCGCAGAAATAATTTTAGGGAGGGATAAGTCACAATAAATGATGTACAATATTCAGTACATATCAAAAAACAGTTTTGGCACGACCTATAAGCTATTTTACACCGACAAGAGCGGGAATACAGGTTATACAGAGTAGGCACTCTCTAGGCAATAGTTTTTCCACACATTTCTGCAATATTTATTGAAAAAACTTTGGAAAGCAATAATTTAGGAATTATGCAATAGGTATGGCTACTCTTCTTTATCGGTAGTCATGATAATCAAACTTGATTTTGTGATAATTGTGTTCAGATTTTCATTTTCATATTGACAATAATTGATTTTATCATAAGATTCTTTCAATTAAAATCGTCGAGTCGTGCAAAAAATGGTATATAAACCTCTTCAAAAATGGCATTATAGAGTCTTGAGCAAATTTTTATTGATAACTTCGTTGATAAAATCAACTCTATATCTTTCTATAAGATGTTGATGAATAGGTACCAATTAAACAAGTTCTCAGAAAATCGCTATAATAAGCGCTAATCAGAATAGGAATTGAATAATGCAAATGTATCTTGTTTAGAAAGTATCTGAGTAAAGACCAGGCACTAGGAGGGGGGGCGAGTGCCCCCCTTGCCTCCCCCTCCGGACGCCACTGTTCGTATCAGTGATATGGCAATTATATATAACCGATAATTCAGGACAATATGCCAGAAAAAGTTTTCGATTTCTCAGCTTTGTATACCCATATTCTGATTGCATAATTTTGCTCACATGAATATTATTGTGTTTTACGTTTATTGTCATGCTCAGCATAGAATGAATTGCTCACAAAGATGAGAGCTTCATTCTTACCTAGAGTTCATGGAAATATATGCAAGTATACCTACAAAACATTCTCTTCAATTTCACTTTCGTCTACCTTTCGCATACATTTTTGATGAAGAATTCTGATACAAACAGAAATTGTTTGCATAATAATTCTGATTGCAACAAAATTCGAAAATGACAGTTGACAATTATCGATAGGCCGGACAGGACTCGAACGACTGAAGGTGT